CCTGTAACCGTAAATAAAAGGAAAATCAGTGCAGTGGTTATCGAGTTCGAGCAGACGGGCGCGGCCGAGGACTTTGTTTTAAATATCTCGTAAGGTATTGTGTTTAATTTCCTGTGATACAAGATAAGTGTCACATTGAAAGAAAATTTGACCACAAATTTTTTTTTTTGACAAAATGTATGTGATTCAATATGTTTTTGAAATAACATCAACAAGCCCAGTACTCGCGCACACTTTGCTGGCTCTGAGACCCAAAAAGTGTCTTGGCCTCAGAAATGAGAATCTTTCAGCGCTCCCTGCCCTGTGTCACCTCCCGCTAATTGCTAGTTTTCAGCTGCAGCAGGTCCTCGACCACTCTGTAGAGCAAGTATACGAATTTTTCAATATGTGCAGAATACAGTGAAGGGAAACTCTTATTTATATATCTTAAACATAGATATAAAAACAGGTTACATAAGTTATTAGCCAACGGGCGGCCTTATCACTAACAAGCGATTGCGATGTCTTCCAGATAACCCTAGTATGGAAAAATAAAATAAGACCATCTATCAGACCGCACCATGTGAGGGTAATGTACAAGAAGTGCCTAAACTAAATTACATGTAACACTAGAAATACTAACTAAATCTAAAGTAAACTAATACCTAAAAATAAATAATACTAATATTACTTAAAAAGGTTAATCTAATCTTAGGGTTAATGAGTATATATCTATATATATAAGTATCTAATTACGTGGCAGAAGAGAAATTCTCAAAATGCTCTGACTGCCTTCATTCTAAAACACAGAATATTAGTCACCTCCATGCCTATAAAGATAAAGGTCCAATGAAACAAATTAAAAATCTCACCCTATATAGACAACACATGAATCCATGCTTTCTACAACTTCATAGATAAAGATTATATTGCTCTTCAACTGCACATTTAGAGCAGTTTCTTGGAAACATGGAGTTGTATAAAGATTTACGATCGTATGCACGTTTTATAGATCTTACGTAATACTTTAGAATATTGGGTATAATACAGTCTATGAATTGTTATGGCTAAGTATTATTATGTTAAGTAGTGAACTGACCTGGTTATGTTAACTTTTTCTACTTCATCCTACGTACCATGAATAAAAATAATAGTATTATTAAGAAGTCATCACTAGTCTATATTAAATTTGTTTTTATGTGCCTCGTAAGAACTAGAATTACCTCCAATTCGCCAATGTTTCGGGTTTTATCTATGAATTATGAGAATATTGATATTTTCCACCTCACCAAAGAAGATGTGAGGAAATATTTGAAGAGGGGCTTTGATCTTGTTTAAGCAGTTATTTGAAATATTAAGTATTATTTGTTGTTTTAAATGTTAAATTTCGTTAATTTTTTTATATTTTTGTCTATTAGTAGGTACATTTACATGTTTTCTGTTTCATATATATTGTTTACCGTATTCAGTGTTTTGTTTTATAATATGTATGTTAGCTGTAAGATTACTAATAATTAAATAAATGTCTTCACATGATTCATTAATAAGCAAGAAAGCCTTCGTATGATTAAACTAATTATTTCGATTATACGCTGACTTAAGAAAATTTGAAATCTGTGATTGATTCACTGAAGTAACGTACGCACGAACGTCGTTACGATAAAGCGTATACGTGAGCCTTAAACAATTCATTAATTTTATATACGTACAGGTTACATGACTCACCTTTTAACCCCTATTTACAATGATGAAAAATACAATACAAAGTAGGTTTAAGACAATCCTAGGTCGTCAGCGTTTTACGAGGCAATCTTGTGCATCCTTTTGTATCTTTTATTGGAGTATCCGTTCACAGAGTACTTTAAAAAATAAAGATTCTATGAATGAAATTTAAAATTTATTATCTACATTACATTGCCTTTAGTTTACGCGAATTACCTACATTGGACATGTAGCAGTTTGTGTTAATAATGTAATGAATTTGCGTTTGTATCCGAAAATGCGTTGAATTTGTGAACATGAAATATTACTCTAAACGTTATAAAATATTTCTTCACTGTGTTTCGCTTAGCCCAGCTCTGGTCTTTAACCGCTCCAGTAGATTTGTTAAAATACTTTGTCTGTGGCGAATCTAACCAGCGTAGTGACAGGGCAGACGAGTCGGCGACATCACGGCGCCGTCTACAGGGCTGGCAACTCTCGTAAATTAGGCCGTAATCTACTATGATAGGCGACAAAGTTTCACATTAAGATAATATTCGGAAGACGCGTGTGTGCGTATGAAATACAAAATAGAACAGGTATTATTCAAATGCATATATAACATTTAATAAAATATCGGGTTATTTATTTATTACTAGGGCGATGTCCCGTCTTCTTTACTCGTTATGAACATACAAAAATAAAAAAATATGAATCTTACCTTACCTCTTTATAATACTAATAATTTACGTATATAGTATATAAACGTAAATTAAACATACACGATTTGATATGATTTTATCTATTATTAGAGGAAGTTGTTTCAGCAACACTTTCTACAACACTTATTTCTAAATAGTCAAAATATCTGTACCCAGCACGAAAAATTTTAACGAAAAAAATACGTATGGCTTAAAATACCCTTAACATTATACTTGGTTGTCGATTACTGCGGAAGCAATTATGGTTTTAGTTGGTAGATAGAAAGAAAAAAGCTGTCTACTTACGTTGACGGGAGTCAATTTTAATATATTATGGATGGTTTACAATTCGAAATTGTCCCCTAAAAAGTGTAAGCCCTGACTTTTTGGGCATAGTAAATTAGCAAAGGGAGACAAGAGGTCTCGCCAGAATGTGACGATATTTAATTGAAGTTGACGCGAAAGCTCGCTCCCCTCAGTCAATTAGCACTAGCACACTTCAAGTTAAACGTTGTCTATGAATAGTATTTAGCATGCCAACATTCACAGCTGTTTTCATCTCCCTTTTGTTAATCTAGTAGGTTAAGAAAATTTTCAAAATACTTATATGGATTAATATGTTACTAAATTTAACAATGCCGAAATTGTCGCAGCATAGGAGACAATCTATTAAGTTTGATAAATTGCGACACCTTGCTCATGTTTAAAGGAACAAAAATTATATTTGAAACCACACAATTTATCAATGTATATACCCGCTGTATAATTTATAATGTATGAATAGAAGTAATAGCGTAGCGACAGGCTGTCTCTCGTAGTACTCGTAGAGCCGCTACGGACTGCTACGTGACCGGGTTAGCGTGACTGATGAGACAACATTACATGACTACGGGCTTTATTAACGTAAATTACTCTTTACATAGCTTATTCATAACTTAAACTCGTAATTTATTAACGTACTCTAGCCTCAAATGGCTATTGAATGTTTTGTCCTTGTCACTTGAGTTACAAAGAGTAAAGCTTATAAATAAGATCTTTAATTCAAAACAAAACAAGAACGAAACCAAAATTATTGTGAATTGTTACTAGAAAATAGAGAATTTACTATTTTAGTCCAGCTGAAAGGCAAGTATGTTACAAACAAAATAACAATTTCAGTATATTTCTGAAAATATAGTGAAATTGTTGTGTTGACATAATAAAGTATAATTTTACAAAATCAGATTACATATATGAGCCAGTTGGTTTTCAACAGATTTATTTAATCAGATTATTCACAGACACAGCACTTATAAATATTTATTTGTCAAAGTAGTAGTCTGAACTTTAGAAATTTTCCATATCATCGTATTGTTCATATGATATTAACGTTAAATAGTCTTCAAAGCAATTTCATAATACGAACTGAGTTTACCAAATTAATGGTTGCGTTCACTAACAATTAATTAAAATTAATGAATGAGAAATATATATTTTATTTATTTATATCCTTATCAACACTAAAAACTTTAATGAGTCGCTTCCATCACATACTATCGGGTTTTACACAGGAAAAAGGATATCTCGCTATTCCTTGTGGTTTTCTGACGTTTTTTCCAAGAATAATAAATATTTCTATACACAGTTTAATTACAGTTTTATTTTACAATTTAATTTAAGCCAGAGAGTTTCCTCTGTAAATTTTATATATATTTTATTAAATATCTTATCATTTCTATGTAATGGTGTCGGCTAAATTAATCAGCATTTATCCGCGTCTGCATAAACGCGATACTCGAACGAATTAAAAAATATTGTGGACTATATGTTTGAAAGGAGCATACTGTTGATTTATGTAAGAGACCTAAAATATCATGTTTCTTTTGTAAGTAGTGTTCGAGACCGTTCGAAATCGATACACTCTCAAGTTTTGGGAACATATCGATTGTTATAATGTAGGTCAATTCGTTTATGGATAGTAAATATTCATTACAATAAGAAAACAATCAAGATTCATTTTATGTGGACTTTATTTTACTGGAATTACATTGACTACTTTATATGCCTATAAAATGAAGATTGTATTTCTTTGGTAATATGTATATTAAAGGTAAGACGTATTGTACGGTTTATAATTATCAGCAGCCAGAAGGACCCAAATCCCTTTTGACTTCCGTTCTTTTAGCTCATTAATTATACAAATATAAAAAAGCCTTACCGTAATTCAAAGTACAATAATGACTTTCTTGCGGAACCAAATGCTGGTAGCTAATAATTATCGTTGAAAATGTTACAATTCTTTTTTTTATCGATAAAAGCTTGCCAACGCTAGGCACACCGATACATTGGTAAAAGTTCCACAATATACAATTTTTAATGTGACAAGCACTTATAGACAAACATGACATACACGAAGAGATAATACAAATATTAAACAGAACAATTAAAATTAGAAAAACTAAACGAAAATCGATTCTTTTCTTTTCTTTTTATTTCTAATTCTTAAAAATTTATTAAAATCAATATAAAAGTCGGGATCGTAATCGCTATCTCCATTGAGAGTTATAGAGTACACGCGAAGGATAGGAATAATTGAAATGTTTTTTAACTATAATAAAACTTATGTATATTTTAAAGTATATGTCTGAATTTCCAGCCACCGAGCTAGACCTGTTGGCCGCGCTGTCTCTACAGAACACATCACGGCCTGGAGTCACCGTCGTGCCTGGCATGCAACCACAGAGAGCTGCATACACCTTGCAAGGTATTTATCAAAAACTGCCGTGCGATTCTGTTAATCCGTGTGTTCACCTCGCACTAACAACGCTCCCTTCGTCACTCACGTCATTTTTGGAATCTCATGGTTTCTGTTAAGCAATTTCACATTACGTCTTGACAAGTGGAGGGAGCTTGTAGTTTATTGTTTATCAGAATGCCAAATCGTAAAATGACTGCTTCACGACTGATTTGAGCGCGACCGCCGCTGCGAAAACCGCTGTGAGAGTTCGAAAAGTGAGTTACAGAATCGCAAGGCTGTACTGTATTATGTTTTGCATTATCGTAAAATGAGAACGAAACTACTTATTTGTTGTAGCGGAATAAAAAGTCAATTTATTTGACTTTCAATTTTAATATTTACGATAGTTAATTATATATTTTTTTACGAGTTTAACAACATCTTTTAACATTGTTGTGAAATTGTCGTAAAATAAGATTAACAAGAAGTCCAAATTGTATGGAAAACTTTGCATAGAAAAAAATTGTATGTCTCTTATATGACGAGCCTTTCGAGTTTTTGCGTCTAGCTGATTCTGAGCATTTCATTTTATATTTACCAAAATTCAATTACATATCACTTACCAAATATGTATCTATCAACACTGTAAGTTGTCGGTTAACAAAGCTATATTCAAACTGTAGTCGTGATATAAAACGAGCCTATCAAAATCTTCCGTCTAGCTGATTCTGAGCATTTCATTTTATATTTACCAAAATTCAATTACATATCACTTGCCAAATATGTTTTTATCAACACAATAAGTTATCGGTTGACACAGCTATGATATCTTAAATTTCAGTAATACAATACAAAAGTAATCAAAATGGCATTCAAGAAAGTCTTCAGTGTACTTTGACAATAGCAAAAAACGTTTTAATAGACTCCTTACTTATAACTCGTTTTCCAATTACTGTCACGATATTCTGAGTTTAAATGACGTATTGAGGAAGTTTTCTTATATGCAAACAAAGTTAAAACGAAAACTTTTGACAAACCTGAATACTTCTTCTATTTTGGATTCCATTCCATACAATAAAAATCCGTTTTATTTATATACATATATCGTTAACCCATTATTCTTTTACCGAAAGAAGCGAAACTACAACGATTTTGTATTATTATAAATTTGTGTGATATTGTAATTTTATTAATAATTATCTATAATATAGCCTTATGTTATTAAGATTAATTTTATGAAACAAAAATGCTATTTGTATTGTTCTACTACAATGTAAAAATAGCTAGTAATTATTCAATACACGATCAGGAAATACTAATCGTATTAAAAGTATATCAGTTTGATAAGACAGACATTATAAAAGAGCCGCACCCGAGCCCATTAACCAGTATTGAAATGGATTGCACCTCGCTGCAATGTTGACGATCCATTATGGCGTAGACTTCACTCACCCATAGTGATTATTATATTGAGCTGTCCTATTCTTTTTTTAAAAATAACTCGTTTGCTTTTTGGTCGGAGCGTAGATTACAATGTTTCCTGTAAGGCGTATATGCATTCTAGTGTAAGTGTCCATGAGCGGCGATAACACTTAACATCACGTGAGCGTTATGCCCGTTTGCCCCTTGTTCTATAAAATATAAATTTTGGCGCTCTTGCAATTCTTGACATTTTTTTTGCGGTTTCCTTATTTAGGGTTGCCAGAAAGAAATTGCTAGTAGTGATAAAGCTGCCCGTTGCTCCATGCTTTATTTTAAGTTTATTTAATCATTTATTTATTTTTTGTGTAAATAAATAAATAAAGTTGTTATATATTTTATTGATTACAAACGAGTGTATAAACAATTTTCTTAACCTACACAGTAATAATAAAAATATTTAAAAATGAAAATCAAAACAAATTTAAAAAGTTTGGTCTCTGTGGCAGCGTACCTTTAACTCTGGCAGGATTTCCTCGCTAAATAAATAAAAAAAATAGTTTATGTAAAAAATCAAAATTACATATCCGTATAGACGCCAGTCCCCGCTCTGGGAACATACCTGTTTATTGCTTAAGATATCATGTGGAACATGGTGTAATGGTTGCAGCTCCTTACAAACGTTGTGTAAAACAAAAAAACATGGCAATTAAAAAGAGTGGCGGAGAGTTTATTGCCACTTCTTCTATTCCGTTCTACCTTTGATTAGAGAACTGGGAGCAAATGTAAAATTAGACGCATTTAATATATATTTCTTTTTTGACGTTCATAAGTGTACATTGTGTTACCTATATGAATAAATGGTTCTATATAAAGAAAATTTAAAATAAAAAGTTTATACTAAACAAATTTTTATGTTTTTATCACTTTAACGCGTAAGTAGTCATTTTAAATACGCTTTATAAAGGCTTAAACATAAAACATGAACATTACAACTTTGATTTTTATAACATATAAAAGTTTTGATACTAAGGTCCCTGATTGCGTGACAAATCCCTTCAAAGCTTTATTGGTCACATTGAATTGAATACCATAATCCCCCTCTCCGGTCAGTACAAGCCATTAACTACAAAGCGTCCCTAATCCCACCAGTAAATAGCCTGCCCTAATTCCATACTTACAGTGACGGGATGACGGAAACTGTAACGATATTTAATTTACATCACCATTTATCAGCTAAGATTTATTGCATGGATTACAGAAACTAGACGTATTACAAATTTTTATTGAACACTACTTAATAAGAAAAATATAAAAAGCGTATAAAAATGTATATGATAACTTTGAAGGCGATTAAATTTATTATAATTATTAATTCAACACCATAAAGACGAAAAATCTATGTATAGACATTAGATGTCTTCAGTCTATTGTTTATATATAAATTGAATTTGAAATAACTTGCCATTATAATTATATGCCATATGCCAATAGCGAATTGTATTTCGGGCATACAATGCGCAGAGGCGATGAGAACTTGGAGAAACTGATCGTGCTTGGTAACACAGAACGCAAACGTGGCCGTTCACCAACCGGAAGGACCGATCAAGTGAAAGACTCATCGTCCTCAAAACTGTACTGTCATAAGAGAGGCGCTGGCCAGAAACCGGTGGAAACAAATAGCCCGCTCCAGATGCTTCCTTGCTGACATGAGCTGCCGATTAAAGAGAGAGATATTAATATTGCTACCATTTCTAAATCAATGTTTATTTGTATTTGCAACAAGTATACCTGTTTTATCCAAGTTCGTTTAAGGTTAGACTACATGCCAATTTTCCTAATGAGTCCCAATCTGATTAATATAAAAATGAAAAAAATAACAAATATTATTCAATCATTACCTTCGTGATGTTCAAGCAAATCAACAAATTGCGCATAACCACTGAGCATAATGTTATGGACGTCATAATTGCCGGAGGGTGACCAGACCCAGTGGGGTTGCATTATCTCGGGGTGTCAAACGTCATACGTCTATTGTCTATTTCCCACATTGACAGCTCGAGGCATCTGGGTCGGTGAGATTAATCTCGCAGCGCATAGCTTTGATTAAGATTTGTTTTACTTTGTCTCTTTGTTGCTGTTGCATTCGTTATTTCAAGGCTTTTTTTGCAAAATGGAATATTAGTAAGCACAATGAGGGTATAATAATGTGTTCCTTTTTAATTATATAATATAAATTTATTTTGGAATAGTTTGTTATAAAAATGAAAACAATCCGTCGTTCCACAACTGAGACTTTCGTCAGGCAGTTTTTGCCACTATGTGGAACCAGCTACCCACTAAAGTATTTCCGAACCAATTGGACTTAGGGTCCTTCAAGAAAAGAGCGTACCAATTTTTAAAAGGTCGGCAACGCACTTGCGAGCCTTCTGGCAATGTGTGTCCAAGGGCGGCGGTATCACTTATGGTGAGCCTCCTGCCCGTTTGCCTCCTATTACATATAAATAAATTTGTTATTCACAAATACATTACTTTACATAATATTCAGTAATTTATATCAGCTAAAGTATTTCCAAAACTGATACATACCCATATCATTGTATATGTTAAATTTCTAATAATTGAAAATTGGGATAGAAAATTTATTAAATTATTGATAGTAAATAGTCTTTTAACATAAGTACTTTTTCGTCTTATTCCTTCAAATTGTGTACACGCTGTAAAGAAAATAGACATGAGTACTTTAGTTGGAACGATGGAATAATATCAATTTTTATATTATAAATAAGGGCTAAATATATTATTAACCGCCTGGAATAGGTATGAATTTATTTCTTTGACACCAGCTCACTTACTTTAGAAGGCACATCCAGTAAAACGTAAACAAAATTGGTTTCGCGCTTCTTTTGTCAGTGAGCGACACTTGACGCCACTCGTGGCTGTACTTGACAGCTCAATGCCTCACAAAAGCTGCTATTTAATGATCGAAGTGTGAAAATGACACCCCGCTCCACGAATTTATCGCAATTTGTAATATTTCCATCTCAAAGAGCTTCTAAAAAGCTTTTTATTCATAATGTGTTAGTTCACTTATACCTTTGGCGTAGTTATCAAATTAAAGTAAGTTTTATAATTCTTTTAAGACAGTAAGTTTGTATTAATTACGAAAACGAACTTGTGTTTATTGCACAGATAAATGAAACATACTTTGGTATTAATGCAGAGCATTCAGAGTTCAGACCACAGCATGTTTCGGATTGAAAATGATTCTCATAACTATATACGAACGAGAGCAGTGTTGACCGTAGGTTGATCCCCGGCTGTGCACCTATGGGATTTCTTTCTATGTACGCATTTAACATTAGCTCGAACGGTGAAGGAAAACATCGTCAGGAAACCGATATGCCTTAGACCCAAAAAGTCGACGGCGGCAGGCACTGGAGGCTGATCACCTACTTGCCTATTAGATTGAAAAATTATCAAGAAACAGATTCAGAAATCTGAGGTTGTAGCGCCACTGATTTATTTTATATACGAACGAACGAAAATATAGCGCTTATAAATATTTCTAACGCAAAATGTCTTAATGCACAAAATATTTTTCTCATTCCTTTATTGTAATTGTCTTTTATTGTATGTAAAGATTTTAAATGGTTTATCGTAAGCTAATAATCCCCAAATATAAACGATAGCCAATAAATATATTCGCCGCGGGGTGCTATTCAATGATGTTTACACAATGCCTTGCGTTATTTGTATCTCGCTAAATTTTGCGTATGGGGTGATTTGATGCAACCAAAATATTGGGGTGCATGTATTCAGTGTCTTATTTATATTGTTTTATTATCTATGCATATAAAGAATTAATTTGTGATGGTTTATAAAATAATTTTTTTTAGTAACATATCACGATCTATTCTTATAGTTCCTTTATTTTCTAATAGAGTTTGGATCCCGGCGAAATAACAATTATTTTGAGTTTGTAGTCACATACGGCTGATCACCGCGTACCTGCGATATCTACCTGATTTACACCAAAATAGTTGTTTCATTATTTATTGATTTATTAGTAATTAGTAATCTTACAGCTAACATACGAATTATAAAACAAAACACTTAGACTATATACAAAGCCAAAACAGATTACATAGATAAATAATATATATGAAACAGAACATTAATAGGCAAAAAGAAAACTGAAATTTAACATTAAACAAACGACAAGTAATACTTAATATTTCAAAGAAAAAACTAAATTGTTACAGCTAAACCAAGTCAAACTCCTCCCGCCTCTTCAAATAGTTATTTATTAACACTTCGTTGCATTAACATAGATAGATAAATGTGTTTATATGACAGAATTTCAATGTAGCAAAGAGTGTCACCGCTCCACAATATTTAAAGCTTTTTTTTAATCAATACGAAAATAATAAAATTTATTCCTAAAAATCTCAGGCAACTACAAAATTCTAAACAGTGTTCTCGTGTAATATTCCTTTCATAACCAAAATTTAATAAAAGCTTCCGAGAAAATGCAGTAACAATTCCCATTTTAACAAGACCTCTGGAAGAACCTGAATAAGTAATTTTCAGTTAACAAAGCGTAGGTCAACTTACAGTAGCCGTTTTTACCTTTATAGCGGACCCTCTTCAATTAATTGAAATGAAAGTATTTGCAAGCCTAAGGGGAGATAAAAGTGTGAAAGTGTCATAATTTATTTAGCATAAATGTGGAAAATATCCAATTAGCTGACACATACGCTGTATTTCTACCGGATTAACGTATTTACTTGGCGTTCTTCGGATATATTTACTAAAATTCAGGGTAAGTTTTATGTTATTAATATTTTCAAGGTTCGTACTCGGATAGATTAGTATTTGACGATGTTTCAAAAAGCAAATAACTTTTGTAAAAATATGAATAAATTCCTAAATTAAAATATTTAGTTGTCTCTGACTGCTGATCTATATTTGGGTTAATATATATACATTATTGCCTGCAAGTTTTAATAATTATTATTTTTTAATGAAGTAGATTTACTAAAACATAGTTTTAACCGTAACATAAAATGGTTCGGGCAAAGTGACTAAAATATATTATGCACGTACATTCAGGATGTCCTAAACTTTTTTACAAATTCGTAGAACTTCGATGCTTGTGAAAATAGTACAAGTACTTACGTATATTGAAAGGGTGAATGAACTTTGTGTGGGGAAAACACTATCCCCTTTTCTTTAGATAAAATAACGAAATAGCACCATTTGAATATTGAGGTTAAAATTTCCGTAAAATTGAAAATTTGAAATAAACAAATGATTTAGACGTGATGAAAATATTATTTTCTCGCTGTGCAATAATGAAAACCTAACAAGATAAATTGCTTAAGTATAGTTATCTGGCTTCGCAATGTTCAAAAGTAGTAGTGAGATAATAAGAACATGTATTGGTTTGTGTAATAAATATTTTAATACAAAATAAACACAAATTCTTCAGCAATATGAATTTTGATGTATTTTCTTCAACCCCAAACAATTCTTCTGCACAATTTACTCTTTAGTCGCGTGTTATTTGTATTATTCAAACACCCTTCATTTCCATTCTAATATTTATTGCTTTTATATACCAGTCCAAAGCTATGAAGAAAAATAAGAGACTATTTTGTAAGCTCTTCAAATAAATTCAATTCTTTAAAGAATTGAATTTTTGATGCAGTTAATACAAAGTGTTATTTTAAACTCAAATATTATTGCAATGAAATTAATCCCAGTGGATCAAGTTAGCTGGCGTAGAGCCAACCTCTACGAAGCTACGATCGTTAAGCGCCCTCGTGCTACGATACAGCTACGCTTGCTTCAACCAAATCTACTGATTTTTATCGAAATTTATTGCACAGTATACCGTTTATAATGAGGTCAAATTTACTTTTTTAATTCCTTAGTGTGTTTAACTGTGTAACTAAGCCGAAAAGTGTTGATTAACAACTGCAGTAAAATATAATAAACTTTTTTATAAAGGCAAGTGGAATTTAATATGCCAATTTTGAAGCGCTTTTTGAGTTCTTTAGGAAACTCTTTCGCAAGATTGGAAGTTGTTTATTTATAAAGTTTCAATTTGACTAATTGTCAATTTATATGCTTATGTCCAGTTAATTATTATATTGTTTTAAATTTCAGGAGATACGCGGTCGTTACAAGTAGAAGGAGAACCATTCGAGCGAGCAGCTGAACTCTTGCGACGTTCGCCAGAGTTCACGCTACTTGCTGCTCTGCGGCAAGATCCAGCCAACTCTGGCACTATTTTATCGTTCTCTCACGGCTTTAACAGGTAAAGCTTTTATCAAAACCTTTCTGTACACCTATATATATTTTATTTATTCTTTTCAATACTAGCAGTTACTCAGTTTTATATATATTGCATGATCTTTTTAGTTCGATAAGATGTCTCGGTTTAATGTGATCTAAAATATTTTTAGACAAGGCATCTAACAAAATGTGTAATGTTAAATAGAGACACGACTTGAAGTCTCAAAGGATGGCTCAAGGTGCGAAGAACGACAAACAAACCATCCACGACGTACAGCGGCGTACAATGGTGAGTTCTAGATCTCAACATCGCTGCGCGCGCACGCATTTCGCTAAGGCTGGATGCGTGCGCGCGCATAGGGGAGAATCATGTATCTTGGAATGTCCTGTGCCTCGGAATGTCCTCCTCGATCCATCTGTTGACTCATTGCGCTCACTGTCTCTGCATGGCCGTACGCGTGGACGGGTGAGCCAACTTGCATGCGACCCCGCGCCTCCTCCGCCGTCGTCCGTTTGTGTTCTGTGTCTTGACGTGTTGTGCTATGTGTCTGTCTGTCCGTTCCCATCGTTCCGCCTCTATGTGTACCTTGATGTTTCCCGTCGTCTCGCGACCGCGTCGGGCCCGCGCCCGCTCAAAGGGGACCCGCCGGGCTTGCACTTGCATTCCAAGCGACATGGGAATCGGTTACGTGCATTCGACGCGACCGATCGAAGCCGCCGACGAGAGACCGGTCGAGATGTCGCTCGCCGGTCGTTTACGAATCTCCCGATTTCTTTCGCATTCGGACAACGGAAGGCGCGTATCTCGCCGAGTAGCTCAGACACCGAACGCGTTCCGAGGTACATGGTCCCCTATCCCGAGCGAGCGATATTGAGATGTAGATCGAGCCGATGTCCGCTCGTGGTCGCCTTTCCGTCCGCTTTCCGAGTATACTGTGTTTGCTTTTACGTGTACCTCGGAACGGTTCGCTCGGAGGGAGGTTCCGAGAACGTGACACTTGAGTAGCGCTGTGGCTGTGCAGGTACCTGGAGGTGCAGTCCAGCGGACGGAGGGACGAGGTGCGCCTGCACTACGTGGCGGCGGGAGGCACGGCGCCGCGCATCGAGACCTTCCCATTCCGGTTGGCGGATGGCGCCTGGCACCGGCTGGCGCTAGCGGTGTCGGGCGCGCAGGCAACGCTCTTTGTGGACTGCCATCCGCTCTACCGCCGCCTCATACCGCCACCCGATAGGAATTTCACACAGCCGCAACTCGCTCTCTGGGTTGGGCAAAGAAATAGCAAACATTCCTTGTTTAAGGTACGTTGATAACTCTTTTTTGGAGCGAAAAAAATAAAATTTAATTTTCTGACTATTCATTTTGATTTTCTTTTTCAGGGAACACTACAAGACGTAAGGTTGGTGTCTGGGCCTCATGGATACCTAGTTCAATGTCCAGGTTTAGATTCTGAATGTCCTACCTGTGGTCAGTTCGCTTTGCTACAGGCTACAGTTCAAGAGTTAACTTCACATATTCATGATCTTTCACTCAAGGTGAGGGTTCCTTAGGGTACTTTAATCTCGTAATCAAAAGTTCAAACTATTTTTTTAAATACTTACCTACTTATAAATTCAAATAGTTAATATTGTAGTGAGTGAGTTTCCCTGTCAGTGAAATAGATCATAGTAAATATTGAAATTAAAATTATGAGGATATTGATATTTTCCACCTCGCCAAAGAAGATGTGAGAAAATATTTGAAGAGGCGGGAAGACTCTAATTTTGTTTAGGTAGTGATATGAAATATTTAGTATTATTTGTTGTTTGAAATGTTAAATTTCAGTTTTCTTTATAAGGTTTTGTCTATTGATGTGCTTATTTGTTTTATTTTTCGTATATAATATTGTTTATCTATGTAATCTGTTTTGGCTTTCTGTACTGTCTAAGTGTTTGTTTTATAATACTATGTATGTTAGCTGTAAGATTACTTATAATTAAATAAATAAATAAAGGACGACCTTTTATTGGGTGTATATATTTCAGTTGGTGGGCACAGAAGCCCGGCTGGCGCGGTTGGAGCAGTGTGACTGCCAGAAGTCATGCTACTCCAACGGCACAGTACACGCAGATGGCGCCACTTGGCAGAAGGACTGTAATCGCTGCTCATGCGTGGTGAGTTATTATATTACTCAAATTAGTTCAAAGTACTTTGCTTTGAAAGATTTGTGCTTTGCTTTAATTTGGTCTACGTTCTGACATTCCAGAAAACCGTACTGAAATTATAGAGAATATTTTTACTAATATATTGTATGTATTGAATAATATGATTAATATAAATAATATCTATTTGAATCTATTTTTTTTCAATTACAGCACGGGGAGATAACGTGTAGGCCGGTGGAGTGCGACAGGGCGGAATGTAAGAACCCGGTACTACACCCGGGCGAATGCTGTCCTACTTGCTTGAGTAAGTCTTACTAAAATACACTATTATTATTGTTAAAGCTTTATTAATTAATCCATCCATACAACAATTGGTTAGTTTACATTTCTTCATATTAGTATTTGTTGTGTTAGTATAAGTTTTAAAGTCTAGTTGCTTTAGCGTAAAAGCCTCCTCCATATTTTTCCATTTCTCTGTCGTGAGCAACATTCATCCAGTTTTTCTAAAATATATATTGTACTACAAATACCAATGTAATCACTAATTCGGGACTTGATATAAAATATAATTATGAAAAATTTACCTTTTTTAGGAACAAACGTATCTTTCATTTAATTATTATTGAAGTTTTATGTTTTTTTTTTATTTTTATTTCTTTACAAACTTTTTCCTTAAAAAGGAACCTCCAACGTATATATTTATTTATTTATTAACACTTCGTTGCATATACATTAATATAGTACAATTGACATAATTAAATAAAAAGGAGAGCAACTGGCGGCCTTATCGCTTACGAGCGATCTCTTCCAGGCAACCACTCTAAGGAAAACACTATATAGACTAGGTTCGTTATACTATTCATGTTAACAATTACACCAAACATATACAAATTATATGCGCTTAACATGTGAGAAACTCACTTTATCATTTACAAATACAAGCGATTAGTATTGTAAAACATGCATCATACTCGGAAATCTTTCTTTGTATAAGAGCTTTCCTTTCCCACAATCTGGCCAATTTACTAACTATAAAACAATTATTTAATTCCTTACTCTCAGGACAATGCCTACTAAAAGGCACATTATATGAGCACGGCGAACGTTTCGCGCCAAAGGAATGCGCGGAATGTGTATGCCACGATGGCAACATGCAGTGTACAAGGGTCGACCCAGACACCGCCTGTCCGCCCTTACCCTGCGACCCGCCGGATCAGTTCACCGTGCCTGGCGAATGCTGCAAGTTTTGTCCAGGTAAACACAGAAGATCTCTATTGTATTTTCGTGACTTGTACTCATACAAGTTACGAAAACGCTTTTGTTTTTTTTGACCAAGCTAACACGTGAATTTTGGTAGTTATATATTTTATTTTTTTCATTAATCAAAGGTAAATTTGGTGGAAATAGTTAGGGAAGGCGGGTTTGTCATATTGATAAGCAAAATACACAGTTGAACTATTGGGTTCTCGTCTCAGTTGGCTTTACGTGGTCCCTACTCAATGGTTACTTGCTTTTCACTCATTCTGGTAAATAGTAGCAACCTAGGGATAGTAGAAACGAGTATAGAGACGCAAAAGTAAAAGCTCAAATACTAAGTATCGCAATACAGACCGGAAATGCTGCCAGCGTTAAAACAAGTATACTGCCCCAGGGAACAAACTTTTTAAATATGTTTAAGTTTTCTATTTATCCATTTTTAATTATTATTATTATTACTATGTTGGTTAAGAAAAATGTATGTATTAATTATTTGCAATTATTGTTCAAATTGCGATTTCTGCCATCTAAAAGTATCCCTTTACTTTTACCAGAAAAAAGAATATTGTAATCAACAAGGCCATGACTTAGACGCAATAATGATTGAAATTTTAATTACATTTTTTGATACAAGTACGGTTTTTATATATTAGGTCTTTATTTTTTTTGATAATGTTAATGTTTAGGCGTGGACTACTGCAGCATGGGTCACTCGTGTGATGAGAACGCGACGTGTATGAATCTCAATACTAAATATACTTGCAAGTGTAATCAAGGATTTCAAGGAGACGGACTTTCTTGTGAAGGTAATTTAAAATACGTCAGTCATACTAATATAATATTCTGGGAGTAAGTTTCTTTATTTGGACCCAAATTTTAACTTTTGCTCATACGACTTTTATTTAATTACTTTATCACTAATAATAATCAGATTCAATTTCAAATCTACAAACCATATCATAAAAAAGCACACATAAAATGCTTTTTTTTAAGTTTGTTACAAAAATAAAAAAAGTTCTAATGTTTATTTACTTTAAGTAAAAGAGAAATTACTCAAAGATTTTATTTGTATATTTTAGTGTGTTATTATTGATAGTTCTTTTTCTTGACGGAGACCCAATTTTCGACTAAATTATTTCCAGACGTGGATGAATGTCAGCAAGCGGGCGGTTTGTACGGTCACCACTGCCACTCGAACACACGGTGCGTTAACGTAGTAGGTGGGTACGTATGCCAATGCCTGCCTGGGTACACGCGACGCGACAAATTCAACTGCGTAGAAGTCGACGAGTGTGCGAGCGAGACGCACTCATGCCACGCAGATGCAGTGTGTGCGAACACGCCAGGTTCCTATTCCTGTCAATGCAGAGAGGGATATAGTGGCGATGGCTATATTTGTACTCGTAAGTTTTAAAATTTGTTTGTAATATTAATAAATTTTATGAAGAAAAACGTTGTGACGAAAACCATGCCGTAGACCCAAAAAGTCGTGTGTTAGGCACAGAAGCATGATCACCTATTGGCGTATTAGACAAAAATCACGATATCTGAGACAGACAGAGTTTTCACTGCTATTTTTATTAAAATAATTAATGAAAAGTCAAAACCGAAATATTAGTTGTCTTCTTTGATTAATTGTCTACGTCTCCTAAGGGTAATTATATATATTGGTATATGTTTAACCTTCGCTATTGATAGGAATAATAGGATAATATACACTTACAACTATGAAAAAGATGACACAGATATTTTTTTTAAGACCAAATACTCTGTGTTAATTAAAGACTTTGTTTACAATCCACTCACACAGTTTATTTGTTTAGCCTGTCCAGAAGTAGTCTTCTAGTCTTAAATATACTTTTGTTACCATACCTCTCACGCTATTGGTCAATGTTTTAGATACTTCTAAACCCTTTTATAATGTAGAGGGAGGGTAAAACTTGCTGAGTTTCTTGCCCGTTCTACTCAGAACAAGGCCTCCTGGTAGTTTTGCGAACGGATGTCGTCTTGCTCTTTCGCGAATTTTGTAAACGTTTTTGACATAAGCATGCGCTAAGACGCATCTAAACTGAATAAACGTACTTTGATTGATTGACTTTCCAGCAATATGTACGGGTGGATGTCTGAACGGCGGCGTCTGCGCGGGTCCAGAGCGATGCGTGTGTGCGCGTGGCTTTGGCGGGTCCCGGTGTGAGCGTGACGTGGACGAGTGCGCTCCCCCCGCGCACCCGTCAGCCCACGCGCCCTGTGTACCGCGCGCTGCGTGTGTCAACACGCCCGGTTCCTATTACTGCGTGTGCCGGGACGGCTATCGCCGCGACCCACATAGAGATCATTGTGAAGGTAAACTAAATTATCTAACTGTTTATATTCGCTACGATATTTTTCAGTACCTACTATTAGTAAAATTATATTTTGTTTATATTGTACTGATTTTTGTGAAAATATTCAGTGACACTTAAAACACATAAATGACATTCTCCGTGTCTTCAAGCGTAAGATGCTGCAGCCATTGCTCGATCACCAATAACAATTGCAAAGAAGAAATGTATTAAATTTTTAAATTGCATATTTGATTTAATATCTGTATTTCTTAATCTAGTTTATTGTTATTTATTATAATTGTATTATTTATTTTCTCTTTTATAATCGTAGTGTATTGCGAAGCATGTATTGTGTTTTTATATGTGTCTGTGTGTGTTTCCTTAGTGTGCCTTTTTAAAATAAAATACCATTTCACCTGAAACTTAAACGTTTGTAATACTGTTGTAGTCAGTTCTAGCAAAAATAAATAAGTTTGATAAACATTTCGTAGGTAGAAAGTGATTTTTTTGTTAAATTTAATAATATTGTAATATGTTTCAGATGTAGATGAATGTTCGGAAGGATTCCACACATGTCACCCGAGTGCGCGTTGTGTCAACGTGGAGGGAAGCTTCCGTTGTGAATGTGATACACAACCCTGTGAACTTAGTAAGTTATTTGTGCTCTAAAATAGGGACAATATAATTCTACAACTTAAGTTTTACATGAGAATCTTGAATAAAATACATTTATTTACTTTAACAAATTCTATCGAAGACTCTTCTAGAATTCTATATAACGAAGACATCGTTCGGTAGCTCAAGTTTGAGCGTCGTGCACATCTGGAGCGGACGTTGTCTCCACTGGTTTTTGAAAATGTTTATAATGCTTACGTATAATTAGGTGCCTTAAAACGAAAAGATTCATTGACAAAAGTCCAGTAGTATTTTATTTCACGGTACATTTTACCCTCTTAATATTGTTATATGGAGCACATTAGAAACATCGCTATACAAATTGCAGGTTGTTCGTGGCAAGGCAATATAATTCCGGACGGGACTCGGTGGGCGGAAGCGGGCGGATGCCGCACGTGCTCGTGCGTGGGCGGAGTCGCTTCGTGCACGCGCGCTCTTTGCGCCTGTGATACAGACAATACCTCACTACCGGTAACGAAAAAAAACCTATCTACTTTCATATCAGATATATATCTTTTTCGCTCGTATAAAAAGGTGGTACGTAAAGTTTAAAAAAAAATTATTGGCAATAACATGGTAACCATGGTAACAAATACTACTTTGGCTGAAAAAGCTAAAGCTTGCAAATAGAGTCTAGGCTCCGAATATGATTTGTCCCATTCGGTGTCGAAACCCTTGGTCCTTGGGGCCCTAGCGCTATAAGGCTTTTTAAGGAAATAGCTAAAAGGTTAGTCGACATCACAGTAGACCGAAGAGCTGGCAGCTACCTCGGATATAGAATTAGTCTAGCGATTCAAAGGGGGAACGCTGCCAGTATCTTCGGAACCTTGCGTTGGTACTCCTTTCAAAAATATATTTTAGTTATTATATTTTTTGATGTTTTTAGGTTTAGATTCTAAATTTGATATTGCCTAAGAAATATTTCCATACTAACTACTCCACGTCCACTAATTAAATCACCATACTTAATATGATCCGATAAAACGCTTGTGTATACAGATGGACAGCGAGAGCCTAGCTCCGTCGTCGTGTTGCCCGCACTGCGAGGCGCGGTTCCACTGTCGCCATCAGGAGATGCATCACGTCACTTTCCGAAGCGGCGAGCGCTGGCTCTACCAGTGCCAGATCTGCGAATGCCTCGTTAGTATATTATATTAATTATTCTTGACGTCCGTCGTTCCACAACTGAGCCGTTAAGACAATTGCCGCAAACCACTATGTGTAACAGCTAACCAATGAAGTATTTCCGAACCAATTTCTTCATGAAATGTGCGAACCTTGCCAGGCCTTCTGGCAATGCGAGTCCATGGGCGGCGGTATCACTTACCACCAGGTGAGCCCTTTTTATAATATAGATAAGAATTTTGGTGGACAGCTGTTCAAATAATAAGACCTCTATTTGACTTTCTAGTCAACTTCCTTAGTCGCATTTCTTGCCTATTGAACTTGCAAACGCAAACGACTTTTGGCATTGTGTTTAGTGGGTAGCGGAGACACATAACCTTCCTATACCAAAATCTAAGCTGTGAGCTACATGTAATATGTGCGTGTGTCAATTCCAGCTGGGCGAGGTGGACTGCTGGGAGCCACAGTGCTCGGAGGGGGGCGGGTGCTGCGGGGCGCGGGGGGAGTGGCGGGCCTCGACGCATCTCGAGCTGCCCGGCTGCGCACCGCACTGCGCGTGCACGGTACGTATACACACACGGCGCTACTACTACAAAAGCCAATACAAACCCCTTTATTCATAAAAACTGCACATTAACTAATTACTCATTTGTTTCTTTTCATCATAGCGTAACACAATTTATTACAGACGAAACAAGAATTTAGTTAGAGAGTGCAGTTAGAATGAATTAATTGTCAGAAATAAGGGGGTGAGTCACTAAGCACACCACAACTTTATTTCAATAGAACAAATTTTGTGTATAGCGAAAAAAAAAGGCTACTTTTTCTCGAACTTGACTGTACTAGACTTCACTATAGTTCGAAGCCTTATTCTTTATTAAACGTTATTCAAAATTCTATTGAAATAACAGACTACAAGGGCCGTCTTGAATAAAAAAATCGTACATTTTTACACCTTTTGAATTTACTAAAATTTATAATATTCATTCATTAAACTATTAAATGCAATCTTATATATAAGGGTTAATCAATGTTTACTAAAGCAATAAAATCTTGCAATGCTAACTAATCAACATTAAATACCACGTGAACATCCTTCCATTGTGTAACTAACCAACGAATTTTGTAACTCATTTACCTGATACTAGATTTCGACTTGAATGCATTTATAGAAAAGCCCGCGAAACCAAGAAACAACAAGGAAGTTTTACTTGTAACAGTTTTGTTGAAACATAACTCTTATGAGTAAAACATAAAGTATAAATTTGAAAGACACGTTCATTTGTGAACAGCTCAATTTATTATACTCTGATTTTTAATTCCATGGAATTCTGACTGCTATCACTTTTCGACATGTCAGAAATGGCAAAACTTTTTGGCCGGGCAAATTTTTTCAATTTCAATACGAGTCTGAACATCTCTATATATACATTTTATTCGTTAGTGAATGTATCCATTTTCAAAGTGGGTTTAACGGCGAGTGATAATTACGTCCCTTTTCATCACAAACCGTAAAAAACGCACGAGATAAGATTACATTTCGTTTTATTAAAAAGGTTTACTAAACCTGGAATTAGTAGGCAGTGATACCAGCTAAAGAATAAAGTAAAGTAATTAAAGTTAATTCGACATATTGTTCGTGATATTGAAATATTTGTTATTTTTGTATTAGGTCACTCGAGTAAGCAAATATTTAGATTTACCTTTTTGTAGGTAAAACATAAAAATACGTAGCATTTTATTTTTTATTGCTCTCAAATGGGTCAAATTTGTTCCTTTTTTTTTAGTAACAAACTTATGAAATGTCAGAATTATACGGAATAAAAATCGAAGTATAATTGCTTATAATGCAAGTAATTGTTGGTATATAAAATATATAAAATATTTTAATTTTTTGAAGTCAAATTTGCAAGCGAGCTCGAAGGAGGTTACTGTACTTGGATTGAATTATATCGATCGGTCGCACACGCGCTATTTTAATGTATTCAAGTCGGAAGTGTGTGAGTGAGCTCGTGCTTGTTGCAGGGCGGGCAGTGCGCCGCTACTCTGGTGAGCAATCTCGCGTGTTGTGTGCATCGGTAACCATCCCCACTCTTCTTACTCATTCATTCATTGCTCTTTTGAGTTCTCTTTTTGGTGTCTTCAATTTTTATCACATTTCGTTAACCTTTATTATACAGATTTCCATAGAAACATTTTTAGAATAAAATTGTTGATATATGTAGACTTAACAAGGTTATTAGTCAAATTACACCTAATTAGAGTTTTTTCGTTTTGCAGAAATAGTGCTTTTATAAACGATAGTAATTCAAAGTAGATTTAATTTTTAAACTTATTTTTACTTTTTAAATTTGGAACCTTTTCGATATTAGTGCTTAATTTTATATATGCGTTTTAGTGACGATCGTTGAAGACATTTTAAAGAATTGTGTTGCATGTTTAAAGTTTTAAAATGCATGAATTTGTTGCATTTGCCATTGTATTTTCCAAAGTTTATCATAAGCATGACAGCATTAATCATTTCATTTTAATTCATTTTCATAATTTTTTTTACTGTACTATTTTGATATGCATCAATGAAGCAAGTGCAATAATATAATTTTAATTTGAACGAAAATTAAATTTCTCCATAGTAATTTTTTTTTTGCACATATGTATCTGTCGCCCAGTACTACTTTCATCATTCTCTTTATAAAATAATAATGTTATTGCCATCAGATTTTGAGCCATAAAAACAAAATTATACATTTTCTTGTACAACACACATTTTGTTTTCTTTTGCAAGAACAGTTTAACGTAGTCAGTAACAATCATTTCCCAAGTTCGCAATTTATTAGTTTTTTTTAGGTAAATTATTTTGTTAAAATATTAATGTGAATAGTTTAGTAATACTTTTTGTTGGGTAGACTTAATTATTAGCGATCTCTGTACCGACACGAACGCCACCAGGCCCACCGCAGACATAGCCCGTAGAAGAAAGCGTGTCTGCGGTGCGCCTTCGCGTAACGTCGGTTCAGATGTTGCATGAGGGTGTCCGTATGCAGAGCGCGTCGCTCGCTGACGGCGGCGCTGGCCCTCGCGGCGCTGTGGCTGGGACGCGCGCCTCGGCCGCACCGCAAGCATCGCGGCGCGCGGCGCTAGAGCCGCCCTGACCACCACGCACACCTTATTTATTCTAGATAGATCTAATGTTAACCAATTGCCGCGCTCTCGGCCTCGACTCGGCGACCGCGCGCCCGCCGCGCCGTCCGCTCGCATCGAACGTTTCATCCTCGTAGCAATATTGTAGTTATCCTAGGTCCGACATTAGAAGCTCCCGCCTTTCGTTGCGAAGGGGCGGCCGGCGCCTCGGCCCGTCACGCGCGCGTATGCGTGACGGCCGAGAGGGACGAACCGACGCCGTAGACCGCGTTCGCCTCCGCGCGTTCCTTCCCGCGTCTGTAATCTTCGAATTCTAAATTATCGCGTGCGATCGCTTATATTATTCTATTATTAATTAGACTTGTACCGGTACTGTGTAGCTGTTGACTCGGAACGCGCGGGGGCGCGGGGCGGCGGGCGCGAGGCCTAACGTATCTCGATGTGTATAAAGTTTGTAAATAAGATATCGCACAGATCCCGCCGTCGCTCGTGCTACCGTTGCCCATGTTGTAAGAAATATTTCGTAATATATTATTATAGTTTATGTTTGTCTTTGTATAAAGATGGTCGTTTTCATGAATAATTTTAAATAAACCAAAAATAGGTACCAAATATAGAAAAGATATGATTGTTTCTTAATTTCATAAAGCATTCTGATGCTTGCATGTTGTATTGTGTTCAAAAAATTACAATTAAAAGATATCCACATATGATGCATTTTTATTACACCTTTTACAGATATTATAGCGAGATCAACCGAGGTCAAGACAGTTTTGAAATATAATTTAGACCATGCGCATAATTTTGTATAAAATTGCTAAATAAAAAAACAAAAGAATAAATATTAAAACAAAAATTTAACTAGGACAAAAGGCTGGGTTAGTAGGCGGCACAAGAGTTGGGTAAATGTTCTGATTCAGATTTTGGGCGGGAGGGGAAATAGCTGGAATGAGATTCCTGGCGTTCCCATTGTGAAGAAACGAAAGAGAGTTTGTAAGGTAGGCAACGCGCATCGGCTGAAGGGTTTTGTTGGCGTGCTCCACTACTCCCGAGACCAGTGTGTAAGATGTTGCAAAGAGGGTTATAGCCTGAAAAGGAAAACTTAGTAAATTTCATCAATGTACACATCAAAGGTTGGTGTTGTTGGTTGTTGTTTGGTTGTTGGTGTTGTTGTTGTTGGTTGCAGCATCTACAATTTCACAAAATACAAACTTTATTTGCATCTTCACAAATGTAACACCGGCCTCTAAATTACACAGCTATCGTGGACGGGCCTATAATAGGACTACTAATTTTATAATGGCATAATGGTTGTTACTAATGTTTTAATATAAATATATGTACCATTACAACGATTATTCCACACGCAACAACAGTAAGCGAATTGACATATTGACGTAGTTCTCTGATGGCTGGTCGAAGGCAGCCATTGGTGTAAATCGGATACACACACCGATCACTTTCCTGGGAATATATCAAAAATTAATAGATTACAAAGATGTTAGCACAATCTCTACAACGACTCAGCCAATATTTTAATGAAGCACAGTAAATATGTTACAATATTTTTCTTCATTTTTCTAACACGCAAATCTATATGTGGTTAAACGCAGTAGTCTCAGGAAACACTGTTTTATTTTGTTGTTCATGATTCTAATGCTTTTCAATAATATCAGTATTCATTCGCTTCCTCTCAATGTGGCGAAGAATCCTTCAAGCCCTTAATTATCATGGAGCCTGTCCGATAGCGAGAAAATCCCTCCACCTTGTTGAACCTTTAATCTTACCATTCCGTCTGTTTCCTATTTTTTATTTATTCTAAGTGGCGTTTGTGTTTTATGTGAACTTAGAAGCTAAAATATAATGTTACACAGGTAGCATTATTTTTTACATGTAGCTTGTTACATGAAATAAAGTTACAATAAATGTTACAATACAAGTTTTTAAATTGTTATAAATTATATAGAGGAAGTCATGAATTTAAAACATGTTTGACGTCCAATATAACCTGGAATCTCAATTCAGAATAAGAAATATATTTAGGAAACTACGATTTGAATTAATACATGTATATGAACAGCTATCGAAGAAGTTTATAGCTTTACGACTGAAGAAATGATGGTAAAATCGCCGGTGCACAGTAATTCATGAAATTAGGTATATTATATACACGTTAACCGACATAAAAGTTAAAAACTACTTTTATATGCATTTGTCGCGTTCCTGAACTAGACTGGTATGGTTACATTTACACAAACAACAGTGGTTCTCTATAGTAACAAATTATGATTTTATTACATTACTAGCTGACCCGGCGAACTTCGTACCGCCTAACAGTCAATGAATGTCGTGTTACTTTTTAGCTGAACTAATTTAGGCTTTGATGAACGTAAAACAATGATACAAAATAATATATTTATATAGATAGAAACAAAAAAGTATTTTATTATGATGAATGATGATGAAAACATACATACAGAATGAGAATAAAAATAAAAAATAATAATTAAGTACTTCAAACTCATGTCAGAAAAAATTATTGAAAACTATGTTGTGCAGATTGGGGAAAAAAAAAAACTCGGATTAATTCATTAATAGGACTTTCATTCAAGCACTTTGTGGTAAACGACATTCTTTGTTTTTTGGTCAGGCGCAAGAACAGATAAAGCGGATGGTTTGCCGACACGTGAGCATGCCACGTACAATTGACCATGAGAAAAACATGCATTTTCTAGATTGAGGCCACAAATAGTCAAGGATTGGCCCTGTGATTTGTTGATCGTCATGGCGAAGGCAAGACGAATCGGGAATTGAATTCGTTTAAACTCAAAGGGCATATCCGTTGGGATCATCGGAATCCTTGGAATAAGAACTCCCTCATCTTTAAATTTTCCTTTAAGTATCGACGCGTGAATCACATTGCTCATCAGTTTTCTTATCACCAAACGCGTTCCATTACACAGTTTTGGTTGGTTTAAATTTCTAAGCATGATGACTACCGAGCCAACTTTAAATTTTAAATTGTGCGGTGGTAAACCAGGTACATCCAAGAAATTTAAAAATTCAGTTGGATAATTAGTGGCTTCTTCTTCGTTTGTTACACAGTCGATAGATTTGAATGAATACAGAGTACCTACGATTTGATTTTGAATTATAAAATTGAGGTCATCTACATTTTTATTTTTAGCGGCCAAAATTGCTCGCTCACTTAACCATTTAGTATTTTTGTGGTTAGCAATGATATCCGGGAATACTTTGTTGATAAGCTCGTGCTTCGATGATATGAAATTGCTAAAATTTGGAGGAAATGAAATCAAACCGCTCGATTTGTCAACAGGAACACGGCCATTACCGATAGTCAGCAATTGCTTCGAGAAATCATCAGCAGATAGATCGTTCAACAATGCAACTCTCATATTTACAGACAGTTGAAGTTTCTTTACATATCGCCACAGATTTGATGCTTTGAGGCAAGCGTTTATTTCGTCGGCAGCAGTAGATCTTGGAATGACTGGTAGTGTTTGTCGGAAATCGCCAGATAATAAAATCATTGCACCACCAAAACATCTCGAGTCATTGCGCAGATCTTTTAATGTTCGGTCTAGTGCTTCCAATGCGCGTTTGTGCGCCATTGTGCATTCGTCCCATATGATGATTTTTGATGCTACTAAAACTTTGGCCATTGCGGAGTGTTTCGAAATGTTACATGCCGGTTGTTCAGTAGTTTGAAGGTTTAATGGCAATTTTAACGCTGAGTGAGCCGTACGGCATCCGTCTAACAATGTGGCCGCTATTCCAGAAGAAGCAATTGCTACCGCAATTTCGGATCTCGCACGTACAGTGGCCAAAATCAATGACATGAGGAATGTCTTCCCAGCTCCACCGGGGGCATCCAAAAAAAATAAGCTGCCATTTCCATCATCAATTGCATTAATCAGTGTATCGTAGACTTCCCTCTGCTTAGGATTCAACAGAGGTACATTCGTTTGAACTGATTGGATTAGTAAAATAAAGTTGTGGCTTAAAGGTCTCAGCAACCAGGCCATAAGCTCCAAAAAAAAAAAAAAAATAGTTGTTACACTATTTGACAGGATTGGACAACAAATGTTTGACATGTAATAAACAAATCATCATCTATTGAAATGATTAAGTATTCATTACACATATCGAGTTTTCATTGTTTTTATTGATGTATTCTGCTATTCGGGACGGAAATAAATCCAACAAATCAAAAACCATGGCAATCGGTCCAGCCGTTCTCGAGTTATAAGTGTTGTAACAAACACGACTTTCTTTTATATATATATATATATATAATATATATATATATATATATATAGATATAGATATAGATTCTGTACTGTATTATTCTGTGAAATAAATAAATTAAAAAAAACATATCCTTGAAGTAGATAAATTAGATATTTCCATTGTTAATATCAAGAAGATGTAAAATACTTTTATAAAAAACTGTGGCTCTAGTGGTTACAGGCAAAAATATATTTCCCCTGCAAATATTTGACGAGAACAACTGCTTTGAGTCAGTTATATAAAATCAGATAGCTCGATTCTATTTGCGGCTCCCTTGGGCCGCTTTAATCTGTATTCAATAGAATAGTGACATTAATTGTGGATACGGAAGTACATATTCAGAAAATTAAAACAAAACATAGAACTAACTTAATGAAAAGTATCTGTAGTAAAATATATCATGTATAGCTATGGGTATAATAGTATTCTATTTTTATTATGTATAAAAAATCCGAATATTTAAAAAAGTTACTTGCCAAGAGGCTTTTGCCACTAAGATGCCCTTTGTCACTTGACAAGCGCATCTTAGCCTTATTAGCCACGCTTGGACCGCTTTAATCTGTATTCATCTACTCCTTGTATATATGTCAATAATCTAAATGTATATAAGCTTAATTTAATTTACCTTCCCTAAAGCTAAACGACCGCAACACGCAGGTGGTAAATTACGTCGATGTAGAAGCCAGTCTGTATGATACTGAACGCCACAGCACTTAAGCTGAAAATCAATATTAATATATTTTGTAACTTCAATTACTAATTAAATACATGTTTCGAGGAAAAAATTAGAAACAAACAAATAATGAAGTGTTAAGAATATGAACATTATTTTATTTATATTATAATTCTACATGAACAATCCGAATACTTATTTAATACAAGGGTTGTTTCATTCTATTATTAAACATTCGCTCGAACAGTGAAGGAAAACATCGTGAAGAAACCGGCTTGCCTACCCAAAAAGTCGTCGGCGTGTGTCAGGCGCTCCTGCGCTGATCACCTAATTGCCTATTAGATTGACAAATGATCATGAAACAGAAAAAATATATAGTAAGTTAACCCAAATTAAAATAAGAATTTCTTTTATTAGTAAACACAGAATGAAAATGGTACCACTGCATATTAATAAATTATGCGGCCGTTTTTACTTAATAATAAAAAGTAAAAACGTTAAAACTGTTGTGCTTTCTAAACCTGGTGTACGATTTCTGAGTCTACGGGGTATTTTAAATAATGTAAAATTATTATCGCTTGCGTAAAACAAAAGCATAATATTAATGATGCTTGCCTATAAAATGCTCAAGGGAGTGCATACTCGCCTAAGGCTAAGAAAATCTGATTAAGGGCCTCGTACACATACGAAAACACTAACTTCAATTTGCATGGCTGTGAAAGCGCTTTTCACAGCGGGATCTACACCCTCTTCTGACAGAGACCTATACATAGATTCATTAAGTGCTGCCGGATCCCGTGTAGCCTTCGACAGTGCCATGATTGAAGACATCCCAGTACATAACAGTACTAGCGCTGCGGTCACCAAAACCATAAGCTAAAAAATAACAGTATTATAGGTTTTGAGACTCGAGCGAGGATTATGAATATCTGAAGAAGAACAGGCTTGGAACTCTACAACTAATTCAAATTTTATCAAAAGCGTCTTATTAGTATTACTCATTCCTACTTGTAAACTACCACCTTAATATATATAAATTACGTGTCACGTTGTTTGTCCGCAATGGACTTCTAAACTACCGAACCGATATCAATCAAATTTGCACACCGTGTGTAGTTTGATCCAGCTTAAAAGATAGAATAGCTTATATCTCAATTTATACCCGCAATATTATTTTATTGCAAAATATTTGTTTATTATTTGATAGTCACAATTCTAACAGATGGCGCTGTGTTGAAAGTACCAACGTTTCACATAAGCTACAATTTAATGGCCATAACCACCAAAAAAGCATGGTGGTCCCCATGACCGGTGTTCTCCTACCGTTTCCCTTGAATAGTTTACCACTATGTGATATAACTATAACCTTAGCCACAGCAACGCATGGCCGGTCTGCTAGTATTTTATATTAGTCAATTCAGCTTTATTTAATTTAATATAATGTCCAAAAAAACCATATAAAAAGGACAATTTTTGTTTTTCCCAGTTTGAAGATCCGTAAGCATGACGACTTATAATAAGAGACATTTCTATCTGGTACCCATAAACAATGTTTCTCCTGGAAACGAAACCAGGACCTATATGACAGTGGCGGTAATTCGTACTTGCCATTATTACTTACCGTAGCCAACAGTCTCATGGACTTATGATAATAGGGCACTAAAGTTGACAGCCAACACGCAGGCAAGCAAAGCAGTGCTCCTGATAGGAAGAGAACACTCGCTCCCAGTTCAACTCCCAAGTCTGTGGTCCAGAAGTAATACGACATACGGAATAGGTTCCATGCTGTCGATCCACCGAGAATAGCACCGCCACTCTAAAAAACGGCTTGTTAATTACACCAAACGTGATAGGAACATTCGCATTAGAAACACAATGTTATTTTTGAAATTTATTACAAGATAACAGATCTTTGACGCTAGAAGGTATTTTATACCTTAATTTATTTTAGATGTAATCTATTAGCTTTTAAAGATTGGTAACACGCGCATTTTATATTTGATTACGTCCAGTTAATGACGGAGGCTTTTGATAAAGAAAATACATTTGCATTAGACTGACAAGTATGGTCTAAGTAATAAGGACATGATATTCGTGGCAAAGTCATCGAAATAAATGCTCTTAGAATTCAAAATATTGCATTCAAACTTACAAGCAGTAAACCAGCACATACGAATAAAATGAGCCCAGTGTTTTTCATTACGAATCTTTTCCGTTAAATTTTTATAATGAAATTTTTATTGAGTTATTATGTCACATTTGAAAGCGATTTAAATATCGTACCAAAATGGTGACATATATTATGGAAACGGAAGTATTTAGAAAATAAAACCAAAACACAGAACTAACTGAATAGAAATGAAATCTGTAGTGAAAGATATCATACATAGTTGTGGGTAAAATCGTAATATTTTATTAAACTCAAAATAACTTTATTCATATAGGTAACCAAGTACACTTATGAACGTCAACAGAAATTAAGTTAAATTTATTCAAATTTTACATTTACTACCACTTCGCAAGTCAAGGGCGTAGATCGGGCAAGAAACGCTCCGCCACTCTTTTTAATCGCCAAGTTTTGAGTCATACAAATTGTTTGCTGCAGCTAATCAATCCCAAGGATTAATAAATTATAAATTTACTTTTAACGAGAGTTTTGAATTTATTTAGCGATAATTCTCTAATTTCGCTAGGGAGTTAGTTATAAAAACGAATACAATTTCCATATAAGGAGTGGTTTATTTTCTGAAGCCTGATTAATTGATTTGACGATTACATCTATATTATTACATACTATGCTTCCGGAAACTTTGCATAAAATAATAGCGGCCTCTGACATTACGATAGTAATAAATTAAAGTTCTTTTTTTTACCTGAATTAAAATGAAGGCATATATTAAGGCATAGGCATATATTAGGCTGTTGTCTTCTTCAAGTTGTCTTTATCTTTAACACATGTGTATTGGGAATTTGGCGACTCATCTGGTGCGGCGCCGGAAGACCATATTGTCTGACTTAGCATTCTGTATGCAATGAACAGCTTTCTGTATTTAATTCTCTGTTGAGTGACACCTAAGTGAGACTGAATTTCCAACGTTTTACCCGCAATACGATTTTGATTTAATGACTAGATCGATAACAGCTTTCTCGTATTTCTTCACAAGGAAGCTCAGCGAAGAGACAGCATTGTCATGTGTTGAGCGAGATTACTTCGACAGATTCTACTTGCTCCAAAATACTTGTTTTAGCGACTCCATGACCGAGTTCAGTACTTTTTTTTTTAATTATGGAATATATGATACAGGTATCACTTATTCAACGTCATTAAATTTGAATAGGTAGGCATCCCTACTCATCGGCAAAGAAGACAAAGGGTGCCGAGAGAAAAGCCGGCGTAAAAAACTCTCGGCAACTTTAAAATAGCAAATCATAAAACACTTATTTTAAAACAAATATCGGAAATTAATTAAAAGTAGCCTGTCTAGCACTAGTCCCAGGCCCTTTTATCAACTAGATAATCGTTAACTTTATAGTAAGTCTTTTTACACAGCTTTTCTTTAATACATTTCTTAAATTTATTAAAAGTCAGAGATAAAAGAGCCTCTGGGATTTTATTAAAAAAGTCCCTTTTCCCAAAAAAGAATTACTTAGAACTTTAGATAGTCTAGTACGGGGAAAATTCATATTACTCACATGCAATAAGATTCTAAGAAGGTGATGTCGTAAAAGAGCTATTAGTGGTTGCTTGTGGTAAAAGGGTCTGTACAGGCGTATTCTTGTCTTTCAAGGAGCGCGCAGAAGCCCATCAATCCTTGTTCTCGTGAGATTAAGCCGTAAAAATCACCTTGGTGGTGTAGGATTTACAAACTCGGCCTATGTCGGTAAGAAATATGAATTTCAGCAAAGGCATTGTATTCATCCTCTTAAGACTTAATACTGTATATACGTTATAATAAAAATATAAGGCTTTCATTACTAATAATAAATTAATTAAAGCCGATATAGTAGTAGTGTTCATGAGTTAAACAATTTTGATTTTGTTAAAATGCTTAGGTCTTCTTTCATTACACAATAACATTTCCACTCATGTTTTTTGAGGGAAATTCAGGCATGTATCTCTGGGAAGAAAAGAATAATTAAATACACTCTTTAGCTTACAAGCACTGAACACCACTTATCTTAAATATTGAAAGATAAACACATTAATAAAAAGATGAAAAATAACTAACAAACCAATAGATATAATATCTTAAATTAATTAGTAGTAATAAAAGCTGTACTGCTTACTCATTGATTTATATAGCTCCAAATTATCCAAAAATACCTTTGAAGGCTAAGATTTGAGGGTAAATAGGAGGCGGATGTACTACATCTATTAATCATCAACAGGGAATGTGAATTTTTCTTCAGCCGTTTGTTCTTAGTAAAGGAAGTCACCCTTCACGCTGAAACCTCTTTTTTTAAGGATAAACCTTACTTAATATTTATTTATTGCATTATTCAACTAATATTTTAATTATGCTGTCGATATAGGGATTCCCTCTCTCCTTTTGTTTTTTTATGTCTTTTTATTATATTTCGTATGTTTCACTTAGATTTTAGACTAAGTAACTAAGCCTTAAAAAACAAGTTATCATTCCCCTACAATATCACATTCCGATAGCGAGTGATATCTATTGCAAACTATTTTCCTAAAGTTCCCGAACATTATGTAATAATGTGAGAGAACTAATTATCTTTATCCACATACACGTATTACCACCAGACCAAATCTTTCCGATTGAACAGCTTAATTTGGCAAATCGTAATTTGTCTTACTTTTTACACTAATTAAAACGAATTATTGCTAGATTTTTATGAAAATGTATGTTTAAAGTGTATGTTATATGGCTTAAAATCAATTGCAGAATATTGTACATTTTTTATATATAAATGTTGGTAGTTTCAAGATTATTTTGTGTTTCAATAAGCATTAACATGAAGTACATAGCTTTCGCGTTTGTCTTTATCCTTCAGGGCCTAGTTGTAAATAGTTTGACGAACACTGTGGATACATTTGAGTTTGGTATGTTTCTTAAAGTATATTTCTTTAAAGAAAAAAAACTCTATTTATAAAAACAAATTAGTCTATTAACACTGTTTTATCTACTATCCTCAATTTTTCTTCTGTCAAATTATTTTATTAAAACAATAATCACTGATTATTGGCCTATGAACAGCAGCCCTGCGATTCTGTAACTCACTTTTCGAACTCATAGAGCGGTTTTCGCATCGGCGGTCGCTCTCAAATCAGTCGTGAAGCAGTCATTTTATGATTTGTCATTCTGAAAAGGTGGGAGCTTGAAGTTTATTGTTTATCAGAATGCCAAATCATAAAATGACTGCTTCACGACTGATTTGAGAGCGACCGCCGATGCGAAAACCGCTGTGTGAGTTCGAAAAGTGAGTTACAGAATCGCAAGGCAGGTAACTATGTTTGTGGGAAGGTCGAAACACACAAAAGTGCTAAAAACTAAGGTTATAATAACTCCTGTTAGTAAAGTAATCTTTCGTCTCTATCTATTAAATTGTGTTTACGCTGTTACGCTGTTACTGTGAAATAAGACCTGCGTATCTCGAATGAATAATAGATAGGTATTTTTTGTATAAGCTCAAGCAATATTATGTTATACTAGCTGACATGGCAAACGTCGTTTTGCCATGTATATCATTTATAATAAAAAATAGGGGTTGATCGTAGAGGGGTGAAAATTAGGGGTTGTGTATATTTTTTAATGCTGTATCATAAAAAAATAAAAATTTATCTAAAAATTAAAAAAAAAATTGGGGTGGATGTTGTCCGATTCTCAGACATACCCAATATGCACACAAAATTTCATCAGAATCAGTCAAGCCGTTTCGGAGGAATTTAACTACAAACACCGCGACACGAAAAATTTATATATTAGATTTAATAATAATGCATTCCCATAGGCACAAGACATCCGAATTACACTTTATTTTAGATTTATACAATTGAAGATATCTTTACACAAAGTGTATATTATGTTGTTTAAATTTTTCAGGGGTGAATACTGGCATTGTTTCGTTTACAACATCAGGCAACATTGGCTTATTGGAGAAGCACGTGGAGATACCTATAAAAGTATGTATTTTGTATTTACAAATTAAAGATTTCGTCACGATTTGGCAGAATACTGGTGTACTCTTTCTACTGCAATCTATATCAATCTATTAAGACATACATGTCTTAAGTATTATGTGAGACTCAAGTCAATCCATTTGTTTCAGTTACCAAGATGTATGAGACTAACCTACGTGCGTGTGGATGTCGATAACCTGTTAGGGCCGCCAAAGGTTGATCTAAACTCAGATGCAAATATTGTAATTATACAATACCGTCCGTTGCAGTTCAGCAAGTCTTCGTACACGATTGTGGCGAAGGCAATCCCTACGCCGTTTTGTTCAATGTAATATTGAATATGGCAATACATATAAATAATAAAGTGTTTTGTTTCTCTTTTACAATAATCCTTTATATACTAGCGGTTGACAGACGTTCCTCCTGCATGATATTTCAAGCGATTAGGATATTAAACGAAGTATGAAAGTACCGACGGCAGCGCATCTGCCGGGCTGATTTGTGAATCTAAAACCATCCAGGGCTCTAAACGGGCTCTAAACATACAAAAAAAATAGCGCTGCCATTATAATACTTTGATGTTATTAAATTATAATGGCATTGCTCCGACACGGCCATTCTGATAGGTCTGATACCAGCATGAAATAGAACAAAAAAACGTGTTTTAACTTGCAGCTGATAGTAACGTTCATGGTCACATATATTATATTTTCAATAATCTTTCTCTATAGCAACCCTGATATAGTTTTGCACGATATTTTGTCGTCTGAAATAGCACCGCTAGGGGAAATTGCGTCTCTCTAAGAAGCTGCGTAATTCGCAACAAGATAAAAGGAATTAAAATCATTGGTTGGAAAGTTCGACGCAGATATAAAAAAAATGTTAGTGTCGAATTCTTCTCTCCAGGAAAAATTGAGTGCCTTGCTAGCGGCTTTCGTTGGAAAGTTCGACGCAGATATAAAAAAAATGTTAGTGTCGAATTCTTCTCTCCAGGAAAAATTGAGTGCCTTGCTAGCGGCTTTCTAATTTTCAATAACACTCAAGGGAGTCAAATTTTAAGATTCTTAGCCTACCAGAATTAAAAAAATAAAATCTGATTAAAAAAATCGAAAGAATTAGTCAAGTAGTCTCAAGTAATATTGTAGACAATTGTATTATTTACTGCCATGCTTTAGAGCGGCAAAGATAAACCCTAATAATGGGCGGCCAGTAGAGGTTCAGTAGTGGTCTACTTAGTAGCTCTGCGTAATAGTCGTTACCATTACATTTGATTAGTAGCAAAAACAATCCTGATGGGAAATTAAATACCATGTCTGATTTGGATTGGAGGGACTGCTGCATCTATATATATCTCCGAACATTTAAGTCCAAAAATGAAAAGTCTTCAAGCTGCTACCAGAATCCAGAGAAAAAAGTCCAGAGAAGTAGGCTTCAAATTCACATGGGTCAGAAACGGAAACATCTGTATCCGTAAGGGTAAAGACGAACCAGCCAAACATATCATCTCGGTGGAACACTTAAACAACCTTCGTTTATGATAAATCTTCAATCACATCAGTTACTAAGGTTTCCTCTATTAATATCTACTTTCAAGCCAACTATTTTTAAGCCAGTTGCGTAGTAACTTTATTGTGTTCACGAAGATCTGATACCTGAATTGGTAACGGCGAACTTTTTGACTCTAGATACACTGTATATCGCAAAGATAGCAATTCTACTAAGTTAAGAGGAGTCGGAGTCCTGTTAGTAGTTAAAAAGCACTGGAAGTAAACGTTTGACGCACCTAAAATCTGACAATGAAGTCTTATGGATATATCTTTTACCGTGCAAAGGAATGGTTAAGGTTTGTGGACTGATTTTACGCACTTAGACTCTCACTAGGTCCGTTGTGCGTAAACTCCTGCCCTGCGATTCTATAACTCACTTTTCGAACTCACACAGCGGTTTTCGCATTCTGATAAACAATAAACTACAAGCTCCCACCTTTTCAGAATGCCAAATCATAAAATGACTGCTTCACGACTGATTTCAGAGCGACCGCCGATGTGAAAACCGCTGTGTGAGTTCGAAAAGTGAGTTACAGAATCGCAGGGCTGTACCGTGCAAAGGAATAATCGATGTCAAACTCGAGGCCTGGTGAGGTATACCTTCCTTCTCCAGTACACTAAGAGAAGCCCAGTGCTATTTTAATAAAGAGAGTTTGTAATATTCCGATATAATGTTAATATATATATAATGTTACGATTGATTTCCTATGGAAATTAGTTTGATTTAAAACGCTGATGATTGCTGGTTTAAAAAATATCCAAATCGAAAGGTTCCAATGCAATTATGTATACATTCTCAAACATGAGATTACGTTAATGTGGAACTAATGAGAAAAATTTACTGCAATAATTTAAAATCAAGAAGTGTGTCTAGAATATTTTAGAAAACATTTTGCATTTAGAACTTTTAGTGGACTGCCGCATATGTACTAATAATGAAGTGGCTTATTTTTGTCTACGTATGCATGTTGACGCAGTCAATTAAGTGTATGGCTGAGACTATTGATGTCTTTGAATTTGGTATGTATAATAATAATACAACTTTATTCATGACAGGAATATGGTTGTGCCATAATTTATGTAACGCTAGTCTCCACATTACATAGCCCCTGTGTGACTAGATTACGATTATATTGAGTTATACATGCATGTTTACAAACGTTAAAAGTTACAAATGCTTTAACTTTTGCTCAAAAACTGAAATGGCGTTGGGCTGGCCATGTAGCAAGAATGTCTAGCAGAAAATGGACCAAACGAGTTACCCAATGGAAAGGGCGACCAGGCAAGAGGCGGAAGGAGACCCTTAGACCGCTGGGTAGATGATCTGAAGAGATCAGCTGGCAAAAACTGGCACTCCATAGCACAGGACCGACAAAAATGGGCATCTTTGGAGGAGACCTTTACCCTAACCTTCTGTTAATTCATAAATAAATTATATATATATATATTACTAACATAATCAATATTTTTGGTTACTGTAATATAGCAACTACCAACTATTGTAACACAGGAAATAAAAAGGCTAATTATTATTACATGCATGTTTAAAAAATTTTTTTAGGAAAAAGTCGTCTTAGTCTTATTTCTTATCAAACAAAATTTGTAATAGGCTAGTATGTGAATGGATATGTGTGCGAATTAAAAACACTATATTTAAGAGTGACTGCGAGTTGTTATAAGGGTGCACTATGTCTTACTGTTTGGAACCTCGGAGGCATGCCACAATATCTAGCTAGGCCTTTGCAGAATCGAAATCCGATGTAAGTTTATATATATAGTGATTTCTGATCTTGTAGAACCATGAAGACGGGAGCATAAATGATAGAGGAAACAGGGTCTTATATTAATCGTTATTTCGCCGTTTGTTTTAACTTGAAAAGTTTTATCGCCAGAAATTGATTTATTTAATAAACATAATTTGTGCAAATTTTTAAAACTACTAAAGCACTTGACAAATGTTTTTATCATCAAGTACATAAGATGTAAACAGAAAATCACATATTGCTATTTACGTACTGGTTACATATATTATTCTAAATGTTATATTTTATTTAAGGAAACAATGTTGGTTCAGTTGCGTTCTCAAAATCTGGAAACATTGGCTTACTTGAAAAAAATGTTAAAATACCAATAATTGTAAGTTACCCATTTTTAAATTACATTTCTAACTTAAAGATGACACTCAAATATACGGTATTTATATGTGGCAGTGTACCTTTAAAGCTGGCAGTATTTCCTCGCTATATTGCGATACTTATTCGTTGAGCTTGGAAAGCCAGCTCGGAGGTCACCGGTACTATCTACCAGGAGCCAACCTTCAATTACCGCCTGTGAACTTGAACCCCACGGCCCGAGAGTCTCGACTCCAAGGCAAGACTCTTATATTTGAGCCGTTTATTATTTTCCGCCTGCTCTGCGGCCTGCAGCCTAAAGAGCATGTTAATATTTTATATTGACCTTACACCCTTAAAGTCCACAGTTTTCCCGAACCGGTTAAAACGGCTAATGTCAATTGACACCAGCCATGACTTAAATGTTTGAATGAATAACTTTAATACATAGTTACATAGTTTCCTATATGTGCTCTTTTTACAGTTACCAAAATGTACGGAGTTAAGTTACGTCCGAGTAAGCGTAGACAACAGACGAGGACCTCCCAAAGTTGATTTCGACTCGGAAGTCAACACTGTCATTATTAAATACCGTCCACTACAATACAGCAGGTCTAGTTATACAGTAGTTGCTAAAAGTGTTGATGATAATGATTGTGAATAAGTAATCAATTGAATTGTATAAAGTAAATGGAAGTTTAAAAAAACTGTACTTTTTAATGTACCCATTAGAATAATTTCACTGTCTTCAGGTTAAAGATGACTTAATAATAAAACAAAGTTAGTTAAATTTAGATTCTATATTCAAAATACAAGACGTAATTTCTACGTCCTGATATAAAATGGAACGGCTGCTATTTATTTGCCATTGTATGCAAATCATACGATACGTGTTGTACGAGCCAAGGCTGTACAGTGTACGTTTTGCTCACTCAGGCAATCGTCGGACTTACGGCCCGAGAGTATAGCCAGACGTAGGCATTCTCTTCAGCATTCGCTACAAAGAAATAATCATGTAATTATTTCATATATATATTATATTGTTGTACACGAGGGGTTAATATAAAGTAAAAATGAAACCATCTATTATTTATACGACTGAGGATCGGACAATGACGACAATAACTATCTACAAAAAAATAGGGGTTGATCGTAGAGGGGTGATAGTAAGGGGTTGTATGTATTTTTGTATGCTGTATCATAAAACAATAAAAACAAAAAGTTTTGTCTAAAAAATAGAAATAAAAATTTAGGGATGGGACCACCCTTAACGTTTAGGGGGATGAAAAGTAGATGTTGACCGATTCTTAGACTTACTGAATATGCCTAAAAAAAATTCATAAGAATCGGTCAAGCCGTTACGGCTCCTCCGTATGGGAACGTACATTGTGACACGAGAATTTTATTACATTTATTTGTGAAAAATATTTTTCTAAAGAAGTCAAACTTTTTATCGTATTTGAAAATTAAGAAGATTTTGTTGCTGTCGCATAATGACAATATACTATTCACTATTTGTGCAAGAAACCGCTCGTTGTCAGATTGGGAATAAACATAAATAGTCTATACAAAACTAAATTTTCAGTTTCAAATTGTGTCTTGAAGTAATTGTTTATGTTACTTACGAGGTAATGTTGCCCTTTATATTATATAACTCATAACTCTTTTTATAATAGTTGAAGTAAAGTGTGGATTACATTTTAAATAGTATGTTAAGTCTCATAAGCTAGGAAAACACGTTCAATTCGTTGTTTCATTGGCTTTTTTCTTATTTATTAAGCCATTAAGTTACGCAAGCTGTACTAAAAACAAGCGACGAAACAATATTAGACAATAAACCATTGGGTATCTAGTTCTCTCTTCTTTGTAAAAACTTTACCTAGAGAATAATATATGTTGTAAAAATAATTAAAAAATAATAATAAAAGTCTCAAAATTACTAAAGATATTTAATATTATACAACCACAATGTCATATTAATCTAGTTTTAGATTAGGCCGTTATTATGATTCCTCAACGTGAGCGCGCCTGTGATGAGCTGCTGCAGAATCCACTCCTTCGAACCCCACCTCCTGAACCAGAAAGACCTAGGCCACCACGGATACGGAAGCCTAGAGAATTTAAGCTCGTAAGTATTTTATATATTCATTATACTTTATAGGGAATATATAAAGTATAAGGAATTTTATGACCAAAAACCCTCCAGAGAAAATAAAAAACAAACAGTACAAAAAACAGTTATCAAAATACCCTATACATAATAATATACAATGTTAAAACTTTGTTGACAGAGAATAGAGGGCACTGGTCTTCTCTGGAGGAGGCCTTTACCTTTCATGGAGAGGGTTCTTGCTAAAAAATATTAAAATAGATATTGTTACTATGTAATGTCAATTACAACATCAACTTCAAATTAAATCAATAACTAATTAATCTTATTTATATTTTTTAAATAAAACTACAAAAATGTAATGGATTTGAATATATTATTATTACAATCAAATTATTTGCTAATCATAATCACATTAATTTATTTCTAATTTATTTTGCATGCACACTGTTAATGAAACTGTACTATGGAATGCAAAAAAAAAGGCTTTTTATTTTATTTATTTATTTAAGGAATTTTATACATTAATTTTTATAGACTTTAAAAATTAAATCATGAAGCTTGTTTCAAAAAAACTCTTTGGCAAAAAAAGGCCTTTGTTTATTTTGTCACGTGTATTTATTTTCAATGTTTAATTAGAGTAATAGGGGTAATAAGGGTAAATCCTTCAATAGGCCAATGATTCGCTTTTTCGTAATTAATTTATTTTTAATGAGCTATTTCGTAATAATGTGATAACGTTAACAATAGCAAATTATATACTTTATCACCATAAAACTTAATATATAGTGAACCGATAAATATTTATTTTATAATTAAATTGACAAAAATCTTCAGATAATTCAATTATATTGACTTAATTTTAGCCCCCGAGATTCCCGCTTTTATCAAAAGACTTTTATGCATCATGGTGTAATCATCAAAAAGAGGTATGTTATTTTTCTTATTCTTTATAAATAAATCCTAGACCACGCCAACATCGTCCAATTCATAAAGTGCAACAGGCTCAAGTGGCTGGGACATGTGCACCGAATGGCGAACGTCAGAACCCCAAGGTCGTAAACTCACAACCCGGTGGCAAAAGAAAACCCGGTAGACCGAGGCTGCGTTGGTGGGATGGAGTTGTCAAGGACCTCGAAACAACAGGGGTTCGCAATTGGACGCGGGTAGCACTAGATAGATTGCGATGGCGAAGTGTAATTGAGGAGGCTAAGGCCCACAAGGGGCTGTATAACCATTGATGATTATAAATAAATATGTCTTAGGTAGCCTAAAACGCCAAATTCTGGCTTATACTCGTACAAGTAAGATGCAACGAGCAGTTGGCCTAGCTTCAGCATGCGACTCTCATCCCTGAGGTCATAGGTTACATCTTCGGCTATACACCAATGGATATCTTTCTATGTGCGCATTTAACACGTGCTCGTACGGTAAAGGAAAAACATCGCAAGAAAACTGGGTTGCCTTAGACCCATTAAGTTAGTCGTGTGTCAGGCACAGGACGCTGATCACCTACTCGTTTATGAAATATAAATTATCAAAAAAACGGATGCAATCTGAAGCCAAGACATAGGGTTGTAGCGCCACTTGAGTATTATTATTATTTGTAAGACGCAGTCATTTTTGACCCTACAGCCTATAATAATTTTAACTTAAAGACCTGATATAATGCGTTTTCAAGCGTAACATTGTAGTATTATATTTGCAGCTGCAACTCGCAAAGCACAAAGTGGATGACCATCCTCCTGGGCTGTTCCCAGAGTTGTATCTAAAACCCCGGCGTTTGAACTACTATGCACGCCAGCTTGAAGAGAATATGAACGTAAATAAAGAACTCTTGAAGAGGATCAATCTTATTCAACGGACTGGAGTAAGTTAATACAATTTATATATATACTAGAGCAAGATAGAGATAGTGAAGCTGGCTGCGTCTTTAAATGAATAAGTATATATAGACTTTTGACTCACATATTAAATTCATCATATATTGAATATGATGAATTTGCGTTTATTCTGGATTTGTTTTTTGGTAAATAAAAACAGTTGAGCCGCTAAGAAAAGTTATCAAGTAAGCAAGTGTTTGCCACATTCTTAACAAAAATTAAATAATAAGTGAAAAATGAACGTGATATTACAAAATAATTCTTGCAGGGTTTTGTAGACTGTTGGATGTACCCCGAGCTCACGGATACATATAACAAATTGCTGTGCAAACAACGCCAAAGGGTGTTGGATGAAATAAGAAGACAGAACGTATATTTCTACTCACGTCTTTTGATCGCAGTTAGTATATTTTGGGTTGACTATCTAGTAAATATTCGTCTTCATATTAAGAATCTTAAAAAACAACGCTTTGTTCGATACTATAAGTTTACCTGTCTTATTAAAACACCAAGTGTTTATTTTTAAATAAAAATTGTCGGTTAGAGATGTACCGTCCCAGTGCGTACAATTTAAATTTACTATTTTGTATAATTGAGCCGTGTTGGACTAGTGGCTTCAGCGTGCTACTTTCATTCCTGAGGTCGTAGGTTTGATCCCTGGCTGTGCGCCAATGGACTCTATTTCTATGTGCGCATTTAACATACGCTCGAACGGTGAAGGAAAACATCGTGAGGAAACCGGCTTACCAAAACAGAGACCAAAGACCCAAAAAGTCGACGGCGTGTGTCAGGCACAGGAGCTGATCACCTACATTGACAAATGATCATTAAACAGATTCAGACATCTGGAGACCCAATTACGGTTGTAGCGCCACTGATTTATTTTTATTTAATTATAATATCCTGGTCGAACACTGTGTGACGGTGTTCGTGTGAGTAACATTGAACAGTAGAATTGTACCACAAACTAATACTAATATTGTAATATTTACGTATACATAGAACGTTCTGATGTCGATTAATGTTAACCATTAGAACCTTTCACTATACGAGAGTGGTACATTTATACAAAACTTCTTTCACGGATATGTACGCTAGTTAATGACATACACCTCGATATTTCGAATGATGTTTTGAAACAACCCAATCATTAAATTAAAATCGAATGATTGAGTTGAACACCACAATTATATAAATTTGACATTCGCACGAAGCGTAACATTTAATGCCAGTTGTGTGTTGTTAATTTTTGCGATATTCACAGCGATCAGAACAACCTTTGACGAAGGAGCTTGAAGTTCTATGGAAGGACACGAAGCATAAATTAATTTTAGGTGCATCGTAAGTATATTAAACTTTTTTAAAAATAAAATTACTTAAGTTTTATATTTTTGTTTCGCTTTCAGATTGCCATTTATTTTATTTAAAACCGAAAAAATCGACCGAGATATAAAGGATCCTGCTTTTGATAAGCCACCAAACATTAATAGGCCTAAGTAAGCATTATTTATTATATTTCATTAATTAAATTGGGTCATAATACGTTTCCATCTTTGAACCATAATTCGTTATATCAAGCAGTTGAGACGTCCTAACTTCTAAGGGTTATTAAGATAACGATTAATCTACCACTAATAGATGATTATAAATATTATCTAAAGTAATATATTAAACTAGCAGACCGGCCAAGCGTTGCTGTGGCTAAGGTTTTTGTTATATTACATAGTAGCAAAATATTCAAGGGAAACGGTAGGAGAACACCAGTCATGGGGACCAACATGCTTTTTTGGTGGTTATGCCATTGAATTGTAGCTTATGTGAAACGTTGGTACTTTCAACTCAGCGCCATCTGTTAGAATTGTGACTATCAAATAATAAACAAATATTTTGCAATAAAATAATATTGCGGGTATAAATTGAGATATAAGCTATCCTATCTTTTAAGCTGGATCAAACTACACACGGTGTGCAAATTTGATTGATATCGGTTCGGTAGTTTAGGAGTCCATAGCGGACAAACAACGTGACACGTAATTTATATATATTAAGATTGGTAGAAAACTGACACCCTGTAACTCCACCATAAGTTTAGCTGAGTAGTAAAACTCAGCATCAAACGGATGCAATCTCAGGGAAAGAACCATATGGGATTGTAGCGCCACTGGATAATTATTATTAGATAATATGCATACGCAAGACGCAGACATTTTTTAGCCTACAACCTCCAATAATTTTAAAGTGTGTAGTAAAACTGCTTTAAATATATAATCACGTGAAATTTACACTTAATTTTAACACAAAGTTGAGATAATGATGCGTAAAACTAAAATAACAGGCGAGTCTGTAAGATTGATCTTTCAGAGTTTCTATGGAGATATGGGTTATTGGTGGGTCCAAGATTGGTCGAGTTACTATGGAGCTGTTTACGGACTTAGTGCCGAAGACTTGCCAGTTGTTCATGAGTCTTGTGAAGGGGGACAGTCGAGGTCACGCATATATGGGCACAAGAATTTTTAGGTAAAGATTGTACTACCTTCGTTGCCGAGTTAGCCAATGTTGTCTAGTTGGCTTCGATTCTTTAGAAAATAATGATTAAGTTTGGCAAAAAGCTCATCTTATAAAAATTTTTTAACATACAATACAATGTCTATTTCAATTCCCTTAGCACAAATATTACAATAGTTTTGTTTTATACTTTAAGAGTATATTCCCACGACACCATCTGCTCGCTATGGACAGAAGAACAGAAGGCGGGGTAACAGTTTCTCTTAATCTCTGCCCCCGTCAGGAGCGTCTACTGTTTAAAATCCACCCCAGAAGGTGCGTAGACCAGTAGGAAAGTCACAGCCGAGTACGGACTTACAGCGTCATCAACACCCGGACCTTCTTCGGCATTGAGGGTTTGCTTCATTAGTTCACATCCTCAAACCTTCTCCGCATCTAGTTTCAAACCTGACCTATCTTGCTATTATATGATAACCATTCGATAAAATATAGTCTTTAAGGCAATGAAGAGGCTTTTCTGTTTATAGAGTTGTACCAGATCTATATTGCCGAGCCGGTGACGTCACCAAGGATAATGGGTTTGGTTGTTATTTAGCTGAAGGACAGACAGAGCCACCAACACCTGAAGGCTTTCGCTTGAAGCATTCTGTTCCTGGTATTTTTTTTTTATTTCGTAACATAAGCTTTGTATTTTCACCAGGTGTTTGTTTTTTTATATAACAAAACACGGCAAATGGGCAGGAGGCTCACCTGATGTTAAATGACACCGCCGCCCATTGACACTCTCAATGACAGAGGGCTCACGAGTGAGTTGCGCGCCTTTTAAAAATTGGTACGCTCTTATCTTGAAGGACCAAAAAAGGTGTAGGTCAACGAAGATGATAAATTATGAAGGTCATCTTATACGGAAAGTTGGTGATGACGCATCTATACTAATAAAGCCGTAATATTATGTTGTGGGTCCACTACCACAGCCACCACTAAACCACAGATATTATATAAATTTATTAAAGTATATATAGTATAATCCTGAGCAGTGCTCGGCTAGTCGCTTCAGCGTGCGATTAGTAGAGTAGAGTAGGTTCGATCCCCGGCTGTGCACCAATGGACTTACTTTCTGCACTTACATTCGCACGAACGGTGAAGGAAAACATCGTGAACAACTTAAACCCAAAAAGTCGACGGCGTATGTAAAGCACAGGAGGGTGATCACTTAATTGCCTATTAGATTGACAAATGATCATGAAACAGATACAGAAATCTGAGTCCCAGACCTAAAAAGGTTGTAGGGTTTCTGACAATAAAGAATAAAGAGAACCAATATTTATTTCTATTACAGGTGTTTTATCAATGGTGGTATCATCAGATAATGAAGTGTGTGGCCAGTTTAATATAATATTTAAGCCTCTGCCTCAATTTGATGGAAAGCATGTCGTGTTTGGAAGAGTAAGTAAAATAAATTCCATGCAATTGTTGAATATGTTTCTAAAATTGTATTTACGCCTCCATTTTCCAATAGGCGCGTCCACACACAGCGAGCAGTCTCGCGAGGCATTTGCCGCGCGAGGAAACTTATCGCGAGGCGGCCGCGCACGGTAAGCCCGAGCCTCCAGAGTGCGCGCGACAAACGAATTAGGCGTCTTTGTGCAAATCAAAAAGTCGACACTCGATGGCTCGGGCGTTCGGCCGAGGCACGTCCTCATTAACTGAGCTGCTTCGCGTGGCAAATGCCTCGCGAGGCTGCTCGCTCTGTGTGGACCCGCCTATTGACTTGTTGTCACCGTCCAGGGTTCACAATGTGTTCACTAAATTAAATATATTGATCAAATTATTTAGATTATCGGTGGCCCAGCGCAAGCTTTAGAAAGGATCAGTGCACTTGGTCTTCCATTGGGATCCACTACATCCGACTGCATTATCAGATATTGTGGTTGGTTTACACGAACTGGTCAATATAGAGAGGGCAACGCTAATACTATTAAATTCCCACCGCGACGAAAAACATAACTTTTATATGTATTTTTTTGGGTAAAATAAATTTGTTTTCAATCAATGTAAATTTTATTGACAATTTACATTTGGTATATAATTAGAAAAATGCGTATAGTTTATACGACTCAAAACACCTTATCAATAATTTATCGTCAGTGATTATTGCGAATGCATTGACCGTCACTCTATTTTCACAAATAGTCCGCAAGAAAATATTAATGCCAGTACCTGAAACAATAAATTTATTAGTCACGGTATAACCTAACAAGGGTTTTGAAAGGGGACTGATGGGCGGATCCAGGGTAGTGAAATGTGGGCATTGCGGTAGGTCATGGACTGTTTGTACCTTAGATTTTTAATTGTGTAATATCTATAGTGTTCCTGTCTACTAGGTAATCGTGTTTTGTTTCATGTTTCTCACATCAACACCAACTATGCAAAATAACTCAGTTTTGTATCGCGCAGCCCGGACATACAACGACCACTATTGACCTTGACTTGTTTTATCGCGGAATATGCTTAAAACGAGTATTAAGAATATCTATAGGGCTAAATAATCTGCATCATGAGCACACCCCACATACACACTTTTGTACCTTCACGTACAAACCCTTACTTTCACACCATCACACAACACAACCGAATTAGATTGATTTGTTAAGTGTTTAATTGTTTTTTTTATTCTTTGCTTTCGTAAATAATTGAACCTTTTTTTATATATATTATGTATTCCATGTAATATAGGATTACGAAATAAATAAATGGCAGAATGACCAGCGCTGTGGAACATTCTGCTCCTCAGCATAATGCTGAGCCAGGGCCATTTACAACCATAGCACACACGCATTACACACTTGACACGAACCAAATGGAAAATGGGAAAACATTTTTTTTATATATCTCATTATATTTTTTATTTTATTTTTTTCTTTGATTATTGTTATTTTGTGTGTTTATGTGTGTGTGTTTTTGTTAGTAATAAATGTTGTCTATGTCTAAATAAACAAAATACCTTTTGTTAGTACATATTTACAGGTTCTATATAAAAACGATCCATAGTAGTTTTTTCATGTAATATTTTTTTTTACTTTTAATTATGAAATAAATTCTTACCATAATCAAAGCTACGATAATAGCCACAGCACCAACATACGCCGCGTCTTCTCGGAGCAAGTCTATAGTTTTGTTCAGACATCCGTCCATGTACATCGTGGTCGGGTTGGGAGAATATCTGCAGTCCAAGCGCTGGAAATGACAAGTGACATATTATTAGCTAGATTTATTAAAATATTAAAATTTTGCATTTTCATAGACTTTTTGAATGTGGTTGGAAACGGAAATTTATCTAACACCAAAATAAAAAGACGGCGACATTTAAATACGTTTTGTAGTTTAAGAAAGAACAAAAATCAGTTAAGTTTATTTAATCACCAATGTAAGGTTTTCTATATATAATGTATTTGTGTTAAACCCTCCTTGGTTCAATTGTATTTAATCAAGCCAGTTTTTTAATGATAATGTTTCCTAACAAAAAATATGAGCATTCCGAAATTGTATTAAATTTTCCTGAAAATCGAACTCTGAAATAAACTGTATGTATTTATAATAAGTTATTAGGCAACGGTCTTAGCGCTTAATAATTTCATCCAGGCAACCCTAGTAAAGAAAAGAAAAACCTACCGAGGGTAAAGTACAAGAAGTACTTACATAAATGATTAACAAAAAATGACGTATCATGTTATCTAGCTTAACTGTCTAGATAACAGCCTCTTTGGGGCCTTTACTACGTGCTTCCTCGGTGCTCATTTCGCCTCGTTTAAACTTAGCAAACCACTACTTAAAACCACTTCTTCTTCTGGTGCAGAGTTCGAATAATGTTTACCAAGCCAGGCCTTGGCTTCAATTGTATTTTTTTTCTCCAAGAAGCAATACATTATTCACACGAAATTCCTTTTGAACAATTGTTTTAAGCAAACAAAAGTTCCTTCACTCAAAATACTATATCTCACAAACTAATAGTACGACAGTTGCCAAATTTATACACGTGTCTTTTGAAGGCTAGGGCTTACTAAAAATCTATTCTATTAATTTAACACTAGTATCGCCATCTATGTGTCACGCTACGAACTTATAAGCCCACCTGTTATGGTTTACTATTACTTATTAGCAAATTTATTACAGCCGATTTCTAGCGAGTTAATTAACATACCTTTCCCGGATAGACTTCTTTACAGCAGCTCTCCGGGACATTCCCATTCCAATCGTTATGGCTCTTCACACCGCAGCATTGTAGATGGGATTGCGTATCATCCCAGGCGCGTGTGTACTCATGCTTGACGCCATAATTTGGCATGGAGGCATGCATTTCCCGGTCGAGAGTCGATATAACCTTCTCACGGAAGACGAAAAGTAGAATACCTCCTACCAGCATCGCCACGAATATAATGAATACAAGGATGTAATACTGGAAACAAAACAAAGTACATGTAGGCAAAATTTTGGTTATGTTCACTTTCAACTATTCAATGACTCTCATCGCTTATAATACATACATAAATTAAAAATTTAAAGTTATATTGTTTATTAGGTGATTAATTCGTATATATATATATATATTATTTTTTTGTCAAAAACCTGGATTTGTTATCTTATTGTGTAAGAGTTTTTCTATAATAAGTTTGTAACCTATAAATGCAATTGTAACCTATAAATGCAACTGAGATTAGAAAAACAAAAGCATAACAAAAAATCCTGCTTTTGAAAATTACGTCTTGAGAAATTACGTATAGTTAACCCCGAATTCAATGTCAATTTATTCTAGGCTAATTTAATTAAGGTCATTAAAATTAATTTGTGGAGCTAATTTATCGAAAGGAAGGGAATAATCTATTTACATACATTCATGAATTTAGTACCAATTATTAAGTATTAACAAAGTTGTTTTAGCGTTTTTTGACGTTTGTGATGGATGTCTCAATAATGACATCTGTCAAATGAGACTTTAGTAGCCAAGTTCTTCGCGGGTTTTAACACATTAATTCCTTTCTTTTCTCCTATTTATTTAACACCATTAATTTGGATAAAATAGTCATAAATTTTAAAGAAATAAGTTTAGATTACATTAAGGATGAAGTGTATAGAGAGTATATACCGTGAGCAGCATGCATTTCACTTCCTTCGCCGCGCCGCAGCATCCAAGGAAGGAAAGCAACATGATCGCCGCTCCCATTGCAACGACAACAACCACAGAGGCTATGTACATATTGTTGCTCATGAGCGTGCTTGAAAATGAGCGTGAAGTCCAAATCCATAGTCCTATTGCCACTGCTAGTAAACCACTTAACTGAAAATGATTAAAAACTTGTCAGTTCTAATAGTTCTGATGATGTAATCATTTACTTAAAATATTCTGAAAAACTCCGATAGCGCTGAAGTCAGAAACGTACCAAATACACACCTAATATTTTCCGTTACACAAACCATTACTTGTAAAAAGATATATTGTCTTTTAAAAACAATTTTTAATATTTGAAACTTACTTGACATTTGTCAATATTACAAGAACAGAGTGTCTTCCCGTAAGAGACACTTTAAGTAGTGTTATTGGACACTATCTTATATAAAATATCCGTTTTAGTAAATTAGGTAAGACTTATATTACTTATTAGTGTTAAGTTAGGCGAGATCGTAATGTCAAATGATGTCAGAGACAATTTAAAAAAAAACTTGAGATTCGCCTATTATAACGTGATCTAAAAGGTCTATCATCTAAAATGTTAAAAAAAACGCGCCTGAAGTAAAGAAAGTAGCCAGCAGCAGACAGCAGAGTTAATGTGATTAAATATAATATAAAGTGTGTATATATCTATTACTGCCGTTTCTAACTATTGCTGGGTCAGCGATATAATCATTTACTTTTTATTTGTTTTAAATTATAACACTAATCTCGCATTAACGAAAAGTATATTATAAAAATACAACAAGTTATAAAGCTACAAGAATAGCATCAAGACCGGTTTCCGTGTATGGATAAGAAATCTAAGAGACGGCGTCCGTCCACATTTCTACAATCCAGATCTTACAAAGAAAGTTTGTGACCATAAGTCAATTATTTAAAATGTCAATTGCTCGCTGTTACTTGCGTTTATTTTTGTATTCAGTTTGTTCTTATTATATTTGTTTATGTTATACATTTTTTTTATATAAAATTATTATCATTATCATTATAAATAAATCTTTAAAGTATATTAGATTATTTACATAACTCGAGTGCTTGTCAATGAAGAAACCTCTCGTTAATTACGTAATGAAATCGCTTCCACATCAGTAGAAACCTTTAATACTTTCATATACAACGTGTAGTACGCGTAAAACAAGGACTATATGACTTATCCATTGTTAAGTGAAATCATAGTGAAGAAATAGCAGTAGTGAAACAATCCAAGTAACATTATTAATAATATGTATGTTCATTGTTCATACTTTTTGCGTCCGGTATATATTATTCCGTTAATTTGTGACGCAGCTGCTTTAAAACGACTGCATATTTTTGTGTGTATTCAAATTATTATATATTAAAAAAACTCTTAATAAAACATGATAGCATATCTATATATGTTTTAACAAAGGACATGGTCATTTTACCATGTAATAAATTAATTAAAAATGTTTAAAAAATTATCATTTTTTTAAATAAGTCAGTAACCATACTGACTCGAAAGAATCAATATTATTTTAACAATAACTATTCTCTCGCATCAAACACAAAAGCTCCGGGTCGGACACGATATTATAACAAAGAAACTTACGAAAGTAACAACATTGATCGCAACCAGCGACACTTTCATACATCTACCGCAACTGTCCATCGTGCCCCTGGTTGGTGTTTCCCTCCTGAAAATATTTTATTCATAATGTCAACACTTTTCAAGTAATAGTAGCTTTAATATTAAAATAGGTCACGATATGTACAATAATGACCGCATAATCTACATCTATAAGTCTTTAAGATAATTAAAGATAATTGTTCATATAGTCATAAAAAACCAATGGCGCTATAACCATTTAGGTCTGGGGCACAGATTTCTGTATCTGTTTCGTGGTTATTTGTTTTTTCTTATTGACAGCGTTTTGTTCCTGATACACGTCGACTTTTTGTGTCTAAGGCATGCCGATTTCTTCTCGATGTTTCCCTTCACTGTACGATCAAGTGTTAAATGCGCACACAGTAAGTCCATTGGTCGAAAATACAGCCGGGGATCGAAAATAGTTCCTTAGGGATGAGAAACGCACGCTGAAGCTACTAGGCCGCTGCTTTTGATACAAATATAAGTTTTTGATACAATGATTCTAAAATATATTTTTCTAACGGTACGAACTAAGTACTATGGTAAACAAATGTTATATATCTTATATTGTACACGTCTTATAATATGTATATGGATATGTGTAAACATTCATTGAAAAGCACAAAATCTTTAAAGTTATGTTTTATTCAATAATGTTATATTAATTACCCATCATTTTCGGGTTCTGGATCCTCCATTCTTAAAACTCACAAAAAGATAAATAGTTTGACATACTAGCTCATATCTAGTGGGTCATGCATACCTCTCGTTTGATGCACCATTTCTTGTGCTATTTTTAGGTTGAATATGAAGCACTTCTTTCATTACGACCAAATATATTATAAATTCTATTTAATATTTTAATAACATTGTCGTTATTACATATAGTTCTGATAAATAATTCTCCTTGTGCAGATTACTTATTTTCGCCTACCTTCTTTTTATACGTTAATAATTTTGTACCATAGATAAACTTAAATTGTATATATATATAATTGTAAATTACCTACGCCTAAGTACGCAATACAAGATTAATATACAGATCCAGAAGAAATACTTTTTCCCGCCATTTTTAAAAATAGAATTCCATAATCTGTACGCAGATTGTCTATATTATTTATTCATCATTATACAAATTACGCATAAAGCCTCACAAAAATAGGCTGTATGTCATTTTGTGTAATCATATATGTAGAACAAGCAGCATACCATCACGTATAAGTACCATTGCAACTAAGTTGCGCAGACGCACTCAAGGTGAGGGGTTAACCCAAGGTCCACCTAATCCCTTCTCTTGTTAGAATGAGAAAGTCAAAATGTATAAACAGTCTAACATATATTTTTATTCAGTAGAAGTACTATTTTCGTTGCAAAACTAGAACTCGAAAAAAATTTTCTTTATAAATAACTGATAATATTTACCAAGTATTAAAGAATGTGCACTACAGAAGTAAAAGTAAAATAAATCACTTAGTCATCACTGTTTTCGATACTATCGCATCGTAAACACAAAACGAGGTTTCATTCACGTTGAAGCGTGGTAAAAAGGTCAAACGCGGTCGGCGATAACAATTCAACTGGTTTGTTTTACGTTCGGCACGCAACGCCCCACCAGCCTCAAACAGGCATTTTAAACATATATTATACAATACTATACAGTATACACGACACGTAGTAGCCAGAACTGGAAATGGACCTTACGCACGCTTCGTGGAATTTATTTTGTGTGGCACCTCTCATGTTAAGAGAACATTTGGGAAATTTATGTGTGAAATTCGAAAGTTTTCTTTCACTCTAAAACCGTTGTAACAATTGCAATTCCATATGGAAGAAGACTATTACGATTATATCCTAATGGGAAACAAGATTGAAATATGAAATCGCCGCCTTCTTGTTTATCAAGTTAATGCGTTTAGCGGGAAATTTCATAGTCTCAGAATGTCAATGTCTTTTTTTACGAATAGTAAAATAAATGTTTAATCATAGTCGATATTTATTTTAATAAAAAATATTTGAAAACAAAACAGTGCTGCTGCAACTATTTTTCTTGGTCTGGGCTTCAGATTTCTGTATCTGTTTCATGATAATTTGTCCATCTAATTGCCTAGTTGATGATCAGCCTCGATCGTGCTCGACACACGTCGTCGACTTTTTTGGGCTAAGGCATGCCGGTTTCCTCACGATGTTTTCCTTCACCGTTCGAGCGAATGATAAATGCGCACATAGAAAGTCCAGTGCACAACCGGGGATCAGACCTACAACCTCAGGGATGAGAGTCGCATGCTGTTAGCTGTAGCCACTATGCATTTCTTTAAAAGCTAAGATATTTCAATAGTTTTACCACTTCGCCATCAACTGTATTTTTACCAAAATCAAAATATATACTTATACCTTGTGCAAAAAGCAACGAATAAAAATCTTATAAATTGTATTATTTTATTAGCTTTTGTTAATAAACTGTTTCAACATAAAATTAGTACAAATGTATAGAAAGCATATTCATCTACACACGAGAGCTCTGCTTTATGGATAAATTATTGAGCTTTGGTTTGAAATAGAAACTTTAAAAAACTTTACAAATAAAAACTTCTATTTAACGCATACTCGCATACATCGACCCATGTTAAGTCGAAGTGCACGAATTGCACTCGCTGGCAATATCTTATATATTACTAGACGAGAAAGGTACGAAAAAATTATCCACTATACCCAATGACGTATATAGAATGCTAAATACCGTTATAAATCATGGTTTAATGATAAAAGTTTATATCTAAATTTTTCGTACCTGTTTCATCTGGAACAATAAATAAGTTTCACTTAAATATATTTAAAATAAATGAAACGTACATCTAATGTGATTTCGCGTATAATTTACAAATTAACAAAACGATACAACATTTGCTTAATTGAAATGAAAATATACACTTTGCGCTAGAAATACAATAAAATACACTTATACAAGCTAACACTACGTGTGGTTACTGAATGACAATAAATTAATGGGCGAGTATGAATACATCGATTTAGTTCCGAATTCACCGAGTTTAACGGATCGTTAGTCGGTGATGTCGGTCACTTAAACGTTTACCCGTGCAGCTTCCGTAAATGCAAATTAATATAATACATTTAATACACTAAGGACTCACAATCATCGTTAACATGTTTATTAATATAAAATACAAGCTATTACCGTTAATAATCAGTTCTCTGAAGTTGTGTAAACAAAGTGTTGGAACGAATAGTTTCACGTTAAAAACAGTTAATTTTAATATTATTTATTATTTTTGGTATCAATCATGGATATATTATTGTGTTTTGTTTGATTGTGGTGTAAAGGAACCTGTCCTTTTAATTTTTTTTATTAATCTCACATATTTCATTGGCACACACAGTTTTATTGAGATATTCATTTCACGTAAAAATTAAAAAACAACATCGTATACGGGCACGAGCAGCTGTTTATATACATTTAAAGTGGAAGGGAAATTTCGATTTAAGGAGCGTTCAAGTATGACGTAACGGATTTTGGGGGGAGGGTCCTTTTGAAAAACGTTACGATGCGGGGCGGGGATTGAATTACGCGTTATTGTTATATATTTTCGACTTTCCACCACTTTTACTTTACACCACATATTGGTAACTTTTAGGTATAAAAAGTCACTGGGTCATTGATTGATTTTGATTGAATAATCTCCAAAAATTGCGTGACGCAAAACTTGAACGTTCCCTTAGGGAAACTTAATATTAACGATAACACGACAGTACTTATTAAGACTTAGTCTAAACATCAATATCAGTTCAAAAAATTTTGCCACTTTTCCAAATCTAATTCTTATTAATATGACATCGACACATATAAAAAGCTTTGAAGGAAGCTACACAGTGGGATTTTAGTTGCCAGTTCCATGCCTAAGTCTGCCGAAAACTAATTTTTAATTAAATTTCACACCTGGATATTTAAATTCATAATAGACATAAATTTATACCAAATACAATTATTGAAAACGGGCAAACTTGACATATAATTTCACTATAACATTAACTTATCCGACCAGAGGTTAAACATTACCACCAGATAAGATGTATGTAGCACTTTTCGAAAATTTGTCTTCTTTTTAACTATTATGCTGTTATTATACAAATTGTATGTACTGGTTGAGATTCACGGCATTACTAATTAAACCACAATATTTTGTTTTACGATTGTTTTTGATTTAGACAATATTACAACATAATCAGTTAGACTAACTTAAAATCCTAAACCTTCTCATTTTAGTTTTAATAAATCCTTATTATTTTAGGATTTTAAGTTAAAGTTGAAGTTCAAGATTGGTTTGAACAATAATTAAGTCCGTCTTCGAGATAGTCCATTTATTCGTGCTGTCCAAAAAATCAGTCCAAATGACTGTCCAGTCATTCCTCGTACTGAGTGACATCCAAAGAGTCGCTCCCTAATAACACATCACGTTCATAGTTCCACGTGGCTACGAACATAGTGATCCTCTCGGGGTCGTTCCAGTAGTGTAACTGATGTCCGTCAATATTCAGGGCGGCAGTGTGTGCGGTGTGTGTGGGGTGAGTGTGTGTGCGAGTCGTGTGGTATGAGTGAGTCGGTTGTGAGTGGTATCAGCTGGCGGGCAGCGGCAGGGCGCGCGGCGCGGAGAGGGCGGCGGGGGCGGAGGCCCGCGGCGCCGCCCCGCACCACTAGGGTCTGCGTGCGGGGAATACGCCCCGCGACGCATAGCCTGCGCTGGAGGTCGCTGGAGGACATGAAATAAATCAATTTTTAAAGTGCAGTAATAAAAATTGGCCCTACATCTAGGTCCTGGCCACAGATTTTGAGATAAGCAATTATATTAAATAATAATAAAAGCCCTTTATTCACTGACCTTTTAAACTTACATGCTACTCTTATTTAACAGTATTTAGCGAAAATAATAATTTATTAGCAACCACTTTGGTCAGGTTGTCTCTCGACATTGGCCTCCCAATTGTTTCCACGTCTCTCTATCCTTGGCAGACCTTCTCCATCCTTTTGGTAGATCGTCCTACCATCTTTTAATTTCCTTTCCCGAGCAATTATATTATCTCGATACAAAACTAAAGTTACATATTCCTTCACCAGTTTAATCTACTTATAAATACCTTGGTTTGGATATGGCAAGCAGTTGGATTTGAGAACTTCTTCGTGGTTACCATATGCACAAAATTTAACTACTACAGTGTTTGCTGATATACCAGTTATCTCCGCTTCGTAGAACTGAAAAAAATCAAATTTAGGATTATTTATAGTTTCATTTGTAAGTTCTCTCCTTTTTATTTGTATAGTAAAATAAATTTTGGGCGCTTCCAGTTCTCTACAATTATTTTTTTACTGTTTTCTTTAATGGCTGGTTTAAAAGCTGGAATAGATAGTTTGAGTTCGCTCAGTTGTAATAAGCCGGCCTGTTGCACCGAGTAATTATTTCTTTGTATCTTTTATTTAAGTTTATTATTGTATATGCAATAAAGTAATAAATGATTCGAAAAGTATAAAATGATTAGTAAATAAATTCAACTTACATTATTATCTTCCCAGTACAAAGCTAGACATCGGTCACCAACTTTCCAGTTAATCTCGGCGACACCCAGCATCGCACGCGCTTGTTCATTAACAGCGGCATTTTGGAAGCCCAGTAATGATCCAGGTAGGAACGGGCCTCCCGTCCTCATAGTATTAAACTCGTGGGGTCTCCCTCCGTACCCATACTGCCTATTGTTGTAGCCCCCTTGCATATTAGCCATATAAGCGTTTGGATACATATTTTGAGGTTGTTCAACATACCCATTGGGTTGTTGTCGGCGCTGATAATTTGGCTCCTGGTATTTTGGCACATCGTTGTTTCGCCTAAAAGGCTGCATTTCTGGGACATTTTGATTCTGATAATTCTGATGCTTAGGATACGGTTGCTCGGAAGGTTGATATTGTGGAGATGGCTTCTCTTCATTTGAACACTGTTGGTTTGACATTAGATTTAGGTTCGCAGTTGCTTCAACTAATTTCTCCATTGAGTGCGAATTATTAGGATATTGTGCTTGCTGTTGAACTTTGTTCTCATGATTCCTCTCACTTCTTCTATTGTTGTATTGGTTCTGAGATTGATTATTGTAATTCTTGTAGGGATATTGATTATTTGAATGTTTATTCATTTCCTCAAACTTCTTTTGGAAGCGAGGTGGCGTTTCAGCCTGTGTCTGGTATTTTCTATCCTCTCTATGAGATGATGACTGATGATGATCATTAAAATGTCCTCTGTCGTTGCGGTGCCGTGGGCCATCTTGTCTCTCATGTCTAGGCCCCTGGGAACGCGAATTATATCGAGAATTATTTCGTTCTCTACTCCCATAATTTCTATCACTTTTTTCATCGACTGCTGAACTAAGTTCAATACGATTATTCCTTTCTTTTTGTCGGTCAGGAACATTGGGTAGTTTATCCTCTAAGAAGTCGAATAAAGACACTTTACCAGATGGTTTTACTGGAATAACATCATCATCATCTTTATCTTTATTTCGTCCTTTTCGTTTTGGTGCAGGTTCTGATTCCCTCTGCTTTTCTTTAGTCCGGTTCTCAGAGTTATCTCTCTTTTGGAGAATTCTTAACGCCCTTTCAACATTATTTTTTGTGTATTTAAGAGCATTCTCAGCTTGTTCTTCTGTGAATCCAGCATCAACAATTTTCTGAACATTTGCATCTAATAAAGGCTTAGTTCCTCCACCAAACACCTACAAATACAATTAGCACCGATAATATGGTCTTATTCTCATTTATTCTCTTATTTAGATATTTATAAAGAAACATTTACCTTTTTAACACCAGATAATCTTTGGGCTTCTGCAATAGCTCCCTTTCTTTGCGCTTCAAACTCAGGATTATCCTGCTTGGCAGCTTCTTGCAGACTTTTAAATTGTTTTTCAAGTGGATTAGCTTCTAATCTTTGACCAAATGGTATCCATGGAGGTGGACCACCATCAACAGCACCTGGAAAATTAAAAAGATATGAATCAAATTTCTTTAAACATGCGAAAACAAGACTCTCATTAATTATATTACCTCTTGTATGTTTTGCCAAACTCCTGTTTAGTTCCCACTTTTCAATCATATGAGATACTTTTCCTCCAAGAATTTTTACTATGTCAGAATTTAACCAGATCACATTATGACATATTTCTAATCCTTCATTTTGAAGTAGAACTTTAGTGCCGGGCGGAGTATTGATTGTAAAATTTGGTATTGGATTTGTTTCTAATGCTGTATATGTAGATTTTCCATCATGTAAAATAAGTTTCAACATACGAGGAGCTGAAGTAGATTCTTCATTGGCTTTGGGAGCTGAGACATTTCTAATCTTTTGAATTTGAAGCACAACAGGATTCTCTAACTTAGAAGGATCTTTTAAAAAATCTTCAGGAAACGCTGCCTCACCTATGTCACGTAAATCAAACTGAAATTAAAAAATGGTATGAAGTATCATTTTACTTATAATTACACAAAACACGAGTCGTTTACTTACATCTAAAGCACGTTTCGAAAGCAAATGTGTATCTTGAATTTGCCCATTATCGTTAATAGCTTCAACGCCTTCATCACTCAAGTGCCTAAAAAATTAAGATATTGTGTCAATGCTTCTCATTATAGAACCCAACAAGTTGCATCTAGGAGTACTCACCAGCCCAATTCTTTGAGAGTTTCTTTGATCGACATTTTGAGTTTTGCATTTAAAATGTATCATTTAGTATTTATAGTTATTTTATCTCTAAAGCAGTGACCGGGTCTTACTTGACAGACATTAGAAACTCCATGATAATTTCATTAAATAGACATTAACAAATATCTGAAATCGCAATTTTCCAAATTCTAATTTGTCTAACTCTAAAGTCAAGAGATCGAGATTCTTAATCATTTGCACAGATTAAAGATAATTATGTGGTTAAAACTCAAAATTGACATTTGTCACCGCGCAGTGTTTTACCACAGAATGAAGATATTCAAAGTTTGAAGGTGAAACGAGGCAGTTATATGTGTAGTGAGTAGTCAGTAGTGAGTAGTCACTAATCAGCAAATAATACAAATATAACATTTTCGAAACTAATTTAACTGAAGATTAGGACTAATTCTGTTATTATTATTAACCTATAATCTAATATTAATACGGAGTCAACAGACCGAGAAGGTGATAAATTGATAAGCAGATAGCATAAACATCATTGTGTTAAACGCTAGTTTAAACTTTAATATAGAAAGTCTTGAAACATTCGTGGCAGAATCAACAATGTCTTCGGTAAGCTTTACGTACACTTTTATTTTAATATTTTTTTAACTAATAATTAATATATTACCAGTCTTGAAATTCCAACTTAGCATAAGTTGGGATTTAATTAATGTTTCATCAAATGTTCCAATTTAATGCAATGTTACCATTTTTGGTAATGTCATTTTAATTTCAAATTTCGTGCTAATTCATACTTAAATTGACTTTATAGTAATTTTTCAATTAGTAAATATTTCTTATAATGTCTTATTATTTAAAATTTATTTTCAGATTCACATTTTCAATGTTGAAATGACTTGCGAAGGTTGCTCAGGAGCTGTGGAAAGAGTTTTGAACAGATTGAAAGGTCAGGGCGTTGAAGATGTGTCTATAAGTTTACCAGAACAGAAGGTGTCTGTTACTTCTAGTCTAAGTTCTGACCAGTTACTTGAAGTAATAAAGAAAACTGGAAAAAAAACAACCTATGTTGGCAAGCAATAGATAACAATAAGTTACTAATTATATAAAAAACAGGTCACCAGTCAAAGATTAATTTAAATGTTAAGTTTTTTGTTAAAATAGATCATTTGAATTAGATTTTTATTTATGTACATATTCAAGTGTAAATGTAATTTTAAGAAAGAAATACTCTTCTGGTGGTTTCTTTAAATGCAACAATAATCATGTAATCAAAGGCAACTGTAATAAGGCTGTTATTGAAATTTTTATATTAAATGTTGTCTTTTAGACAAGTTTATATTAAGTAAAAACACATAATAGTCTTTTAAATATTTACAACAATAAATTTATTTAATAATTATAAGATTATTCATTCCTGCCAATAACATCTTCAAGAGTATTTAATCTCAGATCTACTATATCAACTGCTTCATGAAGTGCATTAAGATGGTCAACAATAGCATTTACAGTTGGTAACACATCAGCACAGTCACATTCTTTAAACTTTTCATTTGCAATTGTAAAGGTCCTATTAATTTTTCTTACTTTTTTCAAGACAGGTTCACCATGGAAAATTTTGTTATCTTTAAGAATTTTGAATCCACTATTAATTGGAAAACTTCTCTTCCTTCCAACCCACTCTATAGTTCCATTAGTATAGCAAACATCACTGGCAGTAAGTTTTATCATCCCAAATAAATTTTCAGTTTCATCATTGGTTCCAACAGACTTATTCATTATAGATGGGATTGTATAAGTCCCTGGTACAGGAGGGGTGCGTGGTAAATGACTAATATCTCCAATATTATTAGAACATTCACCAGATGGGCATGTCTTACGAGATGCAGACAATGATACATTTGTGCTAGGATGAGCTGACTCCAATAGAGTGCTATGAGCATTTGGTTCTTGAATGTTGTCTATGGTATCCAACACTTCATTACCATTATCCAAATGCAGAATTGTTTTAATGGGGTACATATCACTGTGATAGCATCGAAACCACATCTTCGATCCCTGCTTTGTATAATACAAATTAAGATGATATTGACATTCAATAATTTTTAAAAGAATGGCAACTTTCCCGAAATGTAAGCTTTTTGAATGCTATATTGTATTCATTCTCTAACATAGTCTCGGTATAGCCCTGGATTTGGAATAATAATATCTGAATATACAATCTTAGATAGCAAAACCCTCAACTCTAAAAATAACTCTTATCACACACTACATAACATTATCTTAAAATTACAATCACTTATTGATAACCTGTCTTTTTCCTTTAGGAGTAACTTTTGAATTTTGGGACTGTGGTGTAGATATATTATTTATGTTCTCCTTTGTTTCACTGCCCAATTCTGTAAAATTTGTCTTCCAAATGTATACCTAACAGAAAATAAAATTAGAAATATTTTATTTTATAGCAAAGAAAAAAAATTATTTGATACTCTAAAATTAATTACCAATTTATCTTCACCAGCAGATGCAAAACTATCCCCAGTTGGTGAAAATGTTACAGTGTTCACTGCTCCCGATTGTGCACTTAATGTAAATAATGGGTGTCCTTCTAATAAGTCTAATATCTAAAATTATAAATATGTTATATTAATTATTTTAATGTATTTTTTCTTATGATTGAACAATTCACACCAATTGACCTAGTCCCATGCTAAGCTGGTGAAGCTTGTGTTATGGGTACTAGGCAACCGATATACATACATATTATACATAGATAGACCTAACACATATAAATACATATTTTAACACCCAATTAAGTACCACTAGACCAATGAGTCGTCAAAAATGTAAACTAATATATATTAAAGGATGTGTCGAATACCTTCATAGTTCCATCTTTACTTGCAGTTAATATAAAACTACCACTGGGGTGAAAAGCTACTTGATTGACATAATCATTATGTATGCTGAAATTTTTTATTAAAATATTAGGATAAGATAATTCAAAAGTTTATGTACAACAGTCAACATTATCAACCAACCTATAATACTGTACCAAATTATGTGTCCTTACATCATAAAGCATAACATTCCCATTAATAGTGCCCACAGCTATATAGCAACTAGATGGGTGCCATGCTAAATATACACCATGGGTCTTTTGGTCTTTGTATGTATGTATGCAGCTTCCAGTCTCAATATTCCATAGTTTAATTGATTTATCATCTGAACAAGAAGCTATTAAGGTGCAATCTTGGGACATACTGGCTCTTCTCACCCAATTGGTATGACCAACAAATGACATTATGAATTTATACTTGTCACTTGACCACAGTTTTATTATTTTGTCATCAGAGGCTGTTAAAATCTGAAAAATCAAGGGAATTAAACTCAAAAAATCTTGGGAAAATAATACAAACAATCCAGACATGTTCACATTTTTGTTTTCCTACTAAGCCAAACAAAATAAATTAAACTAAATTAATAAACCCACTAACTTAATAAATAAAAATGTAAATACTTTAGTTGTTGTAATAGGTTTTACCTTTTTTCCATCTGAACTAAACTGAACAGAGCGCACAGTTTGGGAATGCGCTTTGAATACCCCAGTACTACCTGTCACTGTAGGAACCCATACTCTAATTGTTTTATCACGTGACGCTGAAGCCATATACTGTCCAGATGGGGAAAAGGTAATATCCATGACAGCTTCATCATGTCCTTGAAATCTGTAACTTCGCATTCCATGAAGATCCCATAGCTACATCAAAAAATAATATTTGTTAATTTAGCTATCTTTTAACCAAATAAAAAGCCCTTAACGATTATTATACGTGCGTTTTATGACTTACTAAAATAGTGTTGTCTAAAGAACTGCTCGCTATCTGTCGCTCATTGGGATTAAAGGACAGAGCTGTAATACTCTTTCGGTGACCCTTCAAATGTTTTTCTAAACTTGGTTCGGGACAAGTTAATCTAGAATCCATTAAAACGGTATAGTAGTCAACTTAACTATAGAAGTAGTTAAAATATTTAAAAAATCATAGTTAACTCAAATAAAAACAAAACATTGAGATTGCCGGGCAAACAAAACAGCATAGATTAAATAAGAATACACATTACTGGCATGTATTTACTGACAGTTATTGAATAGTCAGTGTCATAAAAAATATAATTGTACCAAGGCGGGTTTATTTTACTAACTAATATAACTAATAAAAACTTCATCAAATTTAAACTATGAATCACAAAACGTCGCTTTTTGGCTGGTTTTTATTAGTTGTATGTATATTGGAATTTTGGAAATACCACGCTTTATAGTTTATTATCATTTTATTACCAGTTGAAGTAGCATAGATAATAACACGTAGAGTGTCTAGTATATTAGATATCTGTGGCATACATTTTTCGATTCTTCAAACACGAGGTATTTTTTCAATGTTTTGATGAAATTCCAAATATAAAATATATTTGGAATGGGAGGTTTATAATTAATAAATAATTTTCGAACATTTCATCAATCATTACTCATATAGCAATTATAAATAATACATAACATTCTTAAAAAAGTTAATGCCTTACATACGAATGCAATTCTACCCGGTGCATGCCATTCTTCTTTAAAAATTCTTTGTGTTGTTTCACTATATATTCCACTTCCTTGCAGTTTAACAAAACATCAAAAATATGAAGTGAGGAATATTTATATGGGTTTCATGTCAAACTTAATAGTAGGTGAGTTGTTGTTTGATATTAAAACGATACAATAAATTTTTGCAATATGTCAAAACGTTACACCATAATTTATATATTTCTGCTTGCATCAGACTGAATAAATGTTCGCCTAAATCGCAATTCTTTGTTATCTACTTAGCAAATACTGGCTACAATGAATATGGGGGCCAATGGAGCAGAGGTGTGTGGAGAGGTGGTATTAATAGCTGATGAACTGAGCAGAGCAGTGGAGCTCACTCTCAATCCTAGTGTTGCACATGAAGCTAGAAGCCAAGCTTACAATGCTTGTGAAAGGTAAATTTGCATATGCATATGTTTTGCTTACTTATTGAAGTTTCTAATATATTTTATTTTATAGTTTCAAAGAAAATTCACCATGGTGTGCTCAGGCTGGTTTACTGTTGGCAAGTGGGGGTCAGTACTCCCCAGTTGTTAAACATTTTGGATTGCAGCTCATGGAGCATACTGTTAAATATAGATGGACCCAAATAACTCAAGCTGAAAAATTGTACATAAAGGTAATTAAAATGTTCCTTGTTGAAACATTTGTTACTTAGACATAAAAAAAATAGATATTGCTTTGATATTATTTATATCTGGAACAAATACCCTACTTTTCTCAATAATCTGTTACAAATTTACAACTATAATTGTTATTTTTAGGAGAATGCAATGAAACTTCTATACATGGGAGGATGGGAAACAGGTCATTTGAATGATGCATTAGCTCGAGTTATTGTAGAGATGATTAAGCGTGAGTGGCCACAACAATGGCCAACACTTTTGGCTGAGTTGAGTGATGCTTGTTCACGTGGACATTTGCATACTCAAATTGTGCTGCATGTCTTTTTAAGACTTGTAGAGGATGTTGCAACTTTACAAGTAAGCACATACTTTTCAAACTTTTTTATAACTTAGTGCACTGAATGGGAAACCAATTTTCACTGTTAATTAGTTTCATGAAGGAAAGAAGAGTACAGCAGATACAGTATTTTTAGTATGTGGTGGTACAGCTTTTAGACATAGCTTCTTATGTAGGCTTTTATAGTTAATATAGAGATATACATATTGTAGTTGCATTAATTTAATTTTTATTAAGAATTGATTTTTCAAAATATTTTCTTTCTTATTCTATCATATTGATAGACTTTTTCAGAAACCTTTTAAAGAATGAAAATAAACTATGTTGTAAATGATTTCAGACATTAGAACAGCATCAGCGGCGTAAAGATATTTACCAAGCTCTGACAAGCAATATGGCTGAAATATTTGCATTCTTTATGCGTCTTATTGAACTCCATGTTCAAGAATTTAGAGAAAAGACTGCAGCCGGGGACTATGCTGGGGCTGCAAGTAGCGGCAGGGTTGTACAGGTTTGTTATTTCATTAGTTGTTTACAGTTTGATTCGATTTGAAAACTACATAGTCAGATTGTAAGCAATTGTACTATTAAATTTGTGTACATATGTATGCAAAGCTTTATGCTGGTATATAAACTGGTTTATCTTATGTCAATAGGATTGTCTTTCAGGTGGTATTGCTGACTCTCACGGGATTTGTAGAATGGGTATCCACAAATCATGTAGTGACAAACAATGGACGTTTGCTGCAAATACTGTGCATTTTGCTACAAGATGATGTATTTCAATTGCCCGCTGCTGAATGCTTATTGCAAATAGTTAATAGGAAAGGCTCCGTAAGTTGTTTTTCCGTTGTAAAGATTCCATACAAGCAAAGTGTTAAAATACCAACTTCAAATTTTAACAAACACTTAAGTGTTTGTGTTTAGCTAAAGTTAATGTTTTATAATTGAAAAGTTTAAAGGCCCAAGTCGGATCCAAAAAATTGCATTCCGATTCATCGTCTTGATGTATGAATAATTTTCTTTATGAAAAGTTTCCTGGTAAAAAATACCCTTCTGCACACTTGTAGCATGGTTATTTTTAAAATAATGGTATAAAATGGTCTTTTACAATAAATTCAAAAAATCTTTATTCAAGAACAAGTTTTTAACAGATATTGGAGCCCCTGAACTAAGTATAGGGAGACCTGTACATCAGGGTACTCCGGCTTATGTTTTTAATGTAGTAAAATTATTATTTTTTTTCAGGCAAAAGAGCGAAAGCCACTAATGATATTATTGAGTGAAGACGCAATCTCATGCATCCATCGTGCTGCTGTTGCCAGTATTTCAGCAATGGACGAAAATCATTACTTGTTCCTAAAGAAACTCTCACAGGTGAGTGTATCTAATTAAAATTAAATTAAAAGTTATTTAGAAAAATTCAACTGACTACATTGGGGCTGTTCAAGTATTACGTAAGCACTCTAGAGGGGAGAGGGGTCTTTGATTTTCTTATTTGGTGATTACGTCAACAGTAATTATTTACTCTTTTACACATATTACCCACACATTGTCTATGCTTGAATACGAAATATATATGTGACAAAATATTTAAAAAAAGCTTGGAGATACATAGAACGTGTTTAACTAGCTGTTCCCTGCCACGCTTCGCTGTGGCACATTGTGATTGAATAGTTGAGAAATGAGAAAAAAAACAAAGAAAACATTTTATATAAGTTTAATTTTGAAAAAAAAAAAAAATAGATAAAAACACTTCTTGATGCAGATTATACTCGTATGTCATGCTAAAATTTCAGCTCGATCGGTGCAGAACTTTTTGAGTTTTTGAAGCGTACACAAACCAACAAAACATTTTTATATTATATAGATAATGAAATAGTAACATTTTATACATTTTTCTTGACTTGTAAGTGGTAGGGTCAAATAAACACTAGATTTAGTACAAAATTCGACCAAAAATCTCACGAATTTATATTTCATGCTTGTACTGACAACCATATTGACCCACTGACATACTCCAAAAATATTGACCCAGGTCCTTGCCGGTCTTGCCCAACAATTGACGTCTCTATGGAACTTTGCGACTAATGTGGAATCATGGATGCCGCTTTTACTTGAGACCACACTACTTCTGACATCACATCCGTCTCTTACACTCGTCCATACAGCGAATTCTGTATGGCTAGCGTTTTTAAAGCACGATCAGATTTCGAAGCTACCAAATGTGTTGGCCGTTGTACCGAGATGGTTGCACGCTGCCGCTCCTAAGGTTTTGAAGGTAGGCTAACAAAATGTATACTTAAACATACTATTTTAAAATATTTATTATTGTATTTGATATGAATTTTTTAAAAACACTTTATTGATTTAAAACGGTTTACTTTTCCGTTTTGTAATTAATTAATTACCCAAGGTATCAAAATCCTGCTCGTTACCTGTTTCTCATACAAAGTTATTTCTTCTATTAACAAATCCAATTATATAAATTGACAAGGATTACAAATTTGTTTGTGTAATACCCATATTTTGTATTGCATTTTAATTAATGAACCGTGAGAAGCTTTTAGTTAATTTAATATTTTTTCAGTGTTACTTACAATTTTATTTTTGTTGATTTGTGTATACAATTCTTTTCTTCCTTAATATTTTTTTAGAGGTCTTTCGTTAGCGACAGACCTCCCTAATATTTTATTTTACTTGTTTATATTTCAATGTAACGCAGTTAAAATAAATAGTTTTTTACATAAATTAATTGATTTAATAGGTTACATACCCATCATCCCGTGTGAGCGGCTCCAATGACGCAGTGCAATACGCGTGTATCGACTACGATAGTGAACAAGAATTTATTATATTCTTCAGCCGTTGCCGAACAGAAGTATTGGAAAGTTTTCGGTAAGTTTTTATATAAAATAAGAATAAATTATTTATTTATTCAGGAAAATACATATACTCTGATTTTTAATTCCGTAGAATTCTGACATCATGACTATTATTAATTACGAGTGAACATCTCACTCTATACAAACATGTTATTTGTAAGTGAATGTATCCATTTTATTAAGTGCGGTGCTCAACATTAAAAGTGGTTATACGGCGACTGATAATTACTTACCTTGTCATCACAAACTACATAACTATACAAGACTTACGATTTTATCTTAGCAGTAAGCATCTCTACATAAGCACTGTTTTAATAAAAATGATTTGGCATACATTAGATGTAAAAAAAATAATATAAAATTATTTTTAATTAATATTCTTTTATATAAAAATTTGTGTCTAATATCTTCTAAGTGGTTTTTCGTCTTTAAAATTAAAAAAAAATGTTTATTATGGAACATATGATACAGGTATCACTTATTCCACGTCATTAAATTAGAATTTGTAGACATCCCTACTCATCGGCAAAGAAGACAGAGAGTGTAGGCCGAGAGAAAAAGCCGGCGTAAAAAAACTCTCGGTACTCTTTTATAAATATACTATCAGAAATATTGAAATACCGATAAAACTATGAGATACGTTTCAACAGATACTGCATGGTAGCGGCTCCGCTAGTAACGTGGTCATACGTGGAGCAATGGACGCAAACGGCGTTGGATAAATTAGATGCGCCCGTTGCGAATGACTTGCACGTCGAATGGGAAGCGCTTGCGCAGGTATACGTTACAAGAATTATAATTTACAAATGTATTCATGGTAGATAATTTGTTATAAAGTGATTTATAAAATTTTTTCAATCGTTGACCATCTTAAAAAGAAAAAAATTAAGAGAGAATTTATATTTTCTTAATTTATATACAATTAGACATTATACATATGTAAGAGAGTGAAACACAAATGTGTTGCAAAAATATTTATTTTATGAAACAACAATTAGAGTTTATTATTTCAGTTGAAAATCACTTTTATCCTATTTCTTTTATAATCCATCCAAAATGTACTCACAACAAAAACATCGTTTTCAAATTAAAATGACTGACACATACATAGACAAACAAACAAAATTAAATTAACATCTGTAAAAACAAAATAGATAATTAATAATCTAATTTAAAAAATATAATTATTTCTTTACACATATATAATATACATTAATAATCTAGAATAAATATTGGTATCTTCTATGTATCTAAATGAAATGTATTCTGTCACAGGTTTTAAAACTAACTAAATGGATATATTTTTCTAACACCTCAAAGGTACTTGACGTGGTCCTATCTCGTCTCTTGCAAGCGGAACCCAGACCCAACGTAGCGGAAGGTTTGCGGTTGCTTCAGCGATGCGTCTCCTGCGAACCACCAGCGCCGTTACTCTTGTCTCTGCTTTTGTCTTTCATATCTGCATTGTTCGTGTTTCTTAGCTGTGCTTACAGTCAATTGGCAGGTAAGTTTACATCGATGTTGTCTATGGTTTAAATTAAATACTCAAGTATTACTCTTTTTATTTGATTTGATTTGATTTTACGGGGTTTTAACAGCTGATAATAAAAAGTTATCTATGAACTAAATTATAGAGTTTATCATCGAATAATGTTCTAAACGACCCATTTGAATATTATCGTTTCAACACCTATATAGCTAAAATATAGTAGTATGTTAAACCATTTTAAAGGCCGGCAACGCATTCGCGACCCCTTTGGCATTGAGAATGTTACTCCAGTAATAAACCCCTTATATTTTTTTATTAATCCCAAACAGGTCCAACTGTAGGTTGCGCAGGCGCTGAATTACTGCCACGAGTGCTGGATAAAATATTTAATGTACTCGTATATGAAGGATCGCCCCCAGAAGATCGAAGCTCGCGTAGTGTTAAAAATGTTCGCAGACACGCAGCTGGATTGTTGGTTAAACTTGGATCAAAGGTGAGAAAAATAACTATTTAACTATTACCATAAAAATTCTAGAATGTTCTTAAAGATAGGAATGAGTGACTTTAAAATGTAGTGTTGATTGATGATAAGATGCCAGCATTTCGCTAGAGCTGACACAAAAGTCTGTATCAGAGTTATGTGTTTTCTAGAAAATTTGCAAAAAGTAAGTACATTTATTTATTATCACGCCTTTTCCCCGAAGGAGTGTGCAGAGAAAACTGATCTCCACTTGCTACGATCTTGTCCTTGTCACGTGACAATCACAATGCATGCTCGTCGTTTATGGGTACTTTTCTCTAGTACCTCCTGGATTTAAAAATAATTGTTGACTATAATTTTGACATTTTGCTAGCAAATTTGACTTTGCTAAGGTTGAATTTTTTAGCAAAAAAAATATTGAACATGTAAAAAGGGCTTCGCGCTTTTATCTAAGCATTTTGGTGTAACTCAACTAGACCGAATTACTTCAATATGAATAATATTCTACAGTCTTTCTATCACAAAATATTATTAAAGCTATGTTTTAAAATAATTAGTTTAAATATATGTATTCTTATTATTATAATTTTAATAATCCTTAATACATAAATTTAAAAATATACATTATTAGTTAGTCAGTTTTTTATAGTAAAACACTGGTTTTCGTAGTAGGGTTAAAATGTCAATGTGGTAATAAACTCGGTTTAATGAGGAGGTTAAACAAACCGGACCTTAAAAGTAAACGAAAAAGTTGAAATTAATATTGAAGTTAAAATTGTGTTGTGCAAACAAACCATGACTTTAAGTATCTTACAGACTATAGAATATCTTAATATTGTCAACAATATTATTCTTTTCGCTATTCTGATACGAGCAGTGTTGGCCTAGTGGCTTCAGCGTGCGAGTCTAATACCTGAGGTCGTAGGTTCGATCCCCGGCTGTGCACCAATGGACTTTCTTTCTATGTACGCATTTAACATTTGCTCGAACGGTGAAGGAAAACATCGTGAGGAAACCGACATGTCTTAAACCCAAAAAGTCGACGGCGTGTGTCAGGCACTGGAGGCTTATCACCTACTTGCTATTGGATTTAAAAATGATCATGAAACAGATTCAGAAACCTGAGGCCAAGATCTAAAGAGGTTGTAGCGCCACTGATTTATTTTATTTATGCTGATAAAAGCTAAACGTATGCTTTTCATTAATTGAACTTTAATTAAATCCATGTCATGAACAGAAACGTGTAAAAGAAAATAATTGACGATCAAAAAGAGTTCTTCGTCACTCCTTTGTTTCTTGGTAGCTCTTTTCGTTCTTTCGATTTAAAAAATAACAATTATTTACATGAATAAATATTTTTTTTTTTTATTTATTCTTTCTTCTCTATAGTACCCATTACTCCTCCTACCCGTATTCCCGCGGCTTCATGAGATGTGTCGCGCTGCACTTGCTCGGCCCGATCTTAGTGCAGTGGAGAGCGTCACATTGCAAGAAGCCCTGCTGCTGGTCTCCAATCACTTGTGCTGTTATGAGCGTCAAAGCGCGTTGGTTGCTCAGGTATGTATTCATAAACAAGCGAGGCAATTTAGTCGAATTTTGTAACATTTAATAGCAAAACTATTTTTTACAAATGACAAATAAGCAAAGATGTAAGCATCAAGAATTACTTGCTTTGATATATAAATGTTACAACAGTATTAATATTTATTTCCAACACAGAAATATGCAGTATTTACAATATTATTAACCTACATAGACTCAGATTTTTTTATTCCGTAGAATTCTGACATTTCATAAGTGTTGCTACTAAAAAAGTTCTCCACCGAAAAAGGGACAAATTAGACTTATTTGAGGGAAATAAAAAAATGCTACGTATTTTTTATGTTTGTGTTCCTACAAAAAAGTAAATCTAAATATTTGCTTACTCAAGTAACCTAATAAAAAAATAACAAATATTTCAATATCACGAACAATATATCGAATTAACTTTAATTAGGTACTTTATTTTATTATTTAGCTGGCATCACTGCCTACCAATTCCAGGTTTAGTAAACCTTTAAAAAAATTTTTATCTTTACTTGTACGTTTTTTACTGTTTGTGACGAAAAGGGACGTAATTATCACTCGCCGTTAAACCACTTTTAACGTAGAGCACCGCACTTAGTAAAATGGATATGTTCAGACTCGTCATGTCAAAAAATGATAGCTGTCAGAATTCTACGGAATTAAAATCAGAGTATAGTAATACTAGTAATTAAAAATCGATTATAAATAGACAATTAAAACAAATTTTAAAAGTTCGGTCCATGTGGCAGTATTTATCGTACCTTTAATGTTGGCAGCATTTCATCGCTGTATTGCGATACTTATTCGTTGAGCGAGGAATGCACCAGCTCTGGGCTCACCGGTACTCCCTACTAATTGCTAATTGAAATCTTTAATTAGCGCCTGTTCGCTTGAACTTCGCGGCCCAAGAGTCTCTACTACATAGGGAACAATAGACCCGTCACAATTTCCGACGAACTATAATAAACTTTATTAACAGGAGCTAAAGTGTATTTTACAATGAATAAAATTATAGTATAAATCTTTGAAAAACCTCTAGGTGAAGAATTTAGAATGGATCTTAGATTTGATATACTTTATATGAAGTCAAGACAACTATATCGAAAGGACCAAGGGGAGAAGGAGGGCGCCCCGAAAAAAGGTGGATAGAAGAAATAAGAGCGTAAGCGGGCCATAGACGGACTGCACGTTGCAGTCAAGACCGGCTGCAATATGCGATCGCCGCACGGCGATTTGCAGTTTCCATACTAAATTCATATCCGCAATACACGGACCGCTCCAGCAGTTCCTGAGCAAACCGCATATTGCAGCCGGTCTTGACTGCAACATGCGGTCCGTCTATGGCCCGCTTTAGCAGGAAGCGAATGGAGAAAGCAAGCCAAGAAATATTTAGAAAAAGCTGGAGGAGCCTTTACCCGTGAAGGGATTCCGATCAATGGTACTGAAGGAAGCTAGGATATTAGGATAACAAAAAAAAAATGTATAAAATGTAACAAATCTAAGCTTATATATTCTACTTTTATTATTATTATATATGAAGTCAAAATACATTCTTTACCAGGTGTTAGGAGACTGTAGCGTCCGATGGGCAGCTCTATCTGAGCACTTAACAAGCGCACAGTCTTTGGCCCATCTAATAGGCCTGGATGCGCCCCCGTCGGACACAGACGAAGAACGCGGTACCGCCCGTCGGACATTGTTACACGCTTTAACACTCGCATTGGGCGTTGTGAAGCGGACTTGTGTGCCTGCTGACCCGGATAAGGCGGCTAGGGGCGGCTTTGGGGCGGGGTTGACCCCATCCGGGAATCCGGTGTGGCGGAATCCCGCGGCGGAACATGTACTGCCCCTGTTTCCACATGCTTTGGCTTTGGGTAAGGATATTTGTTTTTTAATTACCTACATAAAGAACATTATTCGATAGGCTGTATTTGCGTGTAAGAATAAATATACAATCGATTCGTTTCTTAGTTTTTGTCGTATCATAAACTAACTAAACACAATATTAAGGAAAAAATTTGAAGATATTTAACTTAAGTATATATACTCATCTGTATCTTTTCATCACTGTGTAAAAATAATTTGACAGACACGTAAGAGTACAGTGTGTGTGTGTGTGTACGACAAGAGAGTTATAAACTTTTTTTTTTTAATTTTAGAACATGATTTCACAAAAATACATCTTGTCTTTAAACACACAAAGCTAAATTAAGATTATATAAATTCTCACTAATTTGGAGTATATAATTCTGTAACATTTCAATTGTTTCATTGTAAAAATATCTGTATAGCGTTGATGCAAACTTGCGAACTAGGGTTACACTTTAGGCAGTTTCATCATCGGACGTCGACGCAAAATACGAAAATGCACCCGTATCACCTAGTCGTCCATCGTTCCACAACTGAGCATTTTTTGAGGCAGTATTCAGCAATTCGACGTCCTTCAAGAAAAGAGCGTACCAATTCTTATAAGGCCGGCAACGCACTCGGGCCTCGCGAGGCATTGAGAGTATCCATGGGTCCATATCCGTTTGCCCCTATTCTATAAAAAAAACTCGCTTTCTTCATATATACAACACGTTTACGTTTCGATTCAATGTTTTTTCCAGGTCGCGCTCTTCACGAACTGCACGCTCCGGGGGCGGAGTCCCTACGAGATCCTGCGCATAGCCGAGCCCTTCAGCCCCCACCGGCAGAGCGCCGCAATCTGCTAGGGCTCCGGGATGATACCCCACTGGCGCCCCTTTCTCCACAGCCTAGTACCCCGCAGGATAGAATGCAGAACTTCTTGCACACCTTGCATGATAATGTAAGTATTATCTGATCACCTAATTGTGTTTTAAATAAAAAATGGTTAAAGAAACGGAATCTGAAGCCTAGACCCATATGGGCAACACTGGATTATTATCATCAGTAAAAAAAATCCAGACCTATACCCTTTAAAAACCAGTCGTAATTATTACCAATCTACTGCAAATATTCCGCCTTAATTTTCCCTTAATTTATTGACAGTTCTTCTCTTCCGTTCTACGCCCTTGATTTGAGAACTGGCAGTAAATGTAAAATTAAAAGCGTTTAATGTATATTTCTTTTTTGACGTTTATAAGTGTACCTATATGAATAAATGATTTTTGACTTTGACTTTACTTCGGGCCAGTGGATAGACAGGTCGATGATCCTCCCTTTGGTTAGAGGAACAGTACTCCACCTTACCTCCATAATGTAATTTCATACTACGATATCAACGTCTCGGATATATTATATATGTCTGAGCAATGGCGCTGGTATCGGCTGCCATTTTCATTATAATTTAATAACAAACCGTTATATAGTTTATTTGATTTGCCAATAATATATCTACCAATTAACAGACTTTTTGATAGTCTGTATTAATAATGACTTCAGTCATTATTATTATTGACCATTAATTAATCGTTTATTTATAGATCTAGCAACATATACAAATTAATTAAACCATTCGTATTAACTGTTTTGAACTAATTTGACTTTGATGTTATTAAATTATAATGACAATGACAGCAGACACTAACGCCATTGCTCTGACATTCAAAATTAATATTAAAAGAATTCGAAAATGTACTTTCCTAAATAGAGACTTTCTGTGTGTATTATTTATAAATTATTGGCTATTGCCGGAACGAGCAGGTCTGCAATCAATAAGTACTTTAAAAAATTACAGGTGTGTCAACTAGTAGGCGCAGCAGCTGCCTCCCTGGGCCGAGAGCTATACGGCGCGGCAGGTCTAGCACGAGCTATATGTGGATCGCTCATATCAGCCCCTTCACGACTTCCAGACCACTGGCTCCGTAGAGTTCTACGAGCTGCCTTACGACCTTTGCTATTGCATTGCCCTCCAGCTCATTATAGGGACGTTGCCTTACCCCTATTGCAGCATACGGCACCGCTAAGTAAGTCTAAAATGAAATTGCACCAATTTAACTCATCTCTTTTCATCACAGCGTAAATACAATTTGAAAGAAAGAGACGAAAGAGTACTTTACAATAGTGCAATTAGAGGAATTTTGTTTTTATGTAAATGTATATATAACAAAAAACAATTATACTCAAGAAATAGCCAAAGATGGAGTACATAATATATACAAAAAGGTTCAAACATTTACCTAAGGGAAAAATCAATTAAAATTATTAAATACATTTAACTAAGTTATACCTACACTATTAACATAAATTATTTATTGAATAGTTTTTATGAATATGGTTTAGTGTGATGTAACTTGATTTAACGTTAAGATACGTACCTTCAGCGTACCACGTACGTTCTATATACTTCATATCTTCGCAAGTATTTTAATTAATAATGTATTTAGTTACTTGTTTTTTTTGTAATGTAACTAAAAAAAGGGTAGGACCCATCTGATTGTTTAAGTTACATAGGTTTTAAAGTTTGAAAGTGTAATTTCGTTTTGTATAAAGTTACGATTTACCTAACATCGAGAAATTTTTACTTTATTTAACATACATATAAAAACACCAGAACTTTTAATATATTTATAATTAGGCAGTCCATGAATTCTTCGGGACTTTTAACGAACACCAATTCTTATTGCAATTATTATTATAGTGGTGGTACATCTGTCCCAAAGATGGGACTACGTGACGTCACTGTACGAGTCCGGGAAGCTGGAGGAAGAGAGTGGAAGTGAGTCGCAGGAAGTGTTGGAAGATATGTTAGTACGACATCTCACTAGGGAGTACTTGGAAGTTTTAAAGGTAGAGACTGTTTATTTATTTATTTATTTATTGAACGTAAAAATACTTTGGAGTATTTTATTCCTAAAAATATTTTAATTTATTATTGTTGTTTTTTGTTTGTAAATTTCATTCCATGTTTTAAGTGATTTTTATCATATTTTAAAAATACAAATTTTTTAAAGTTATGTTTTTAATTTAACAATAGATACAGGATGTTCGTTTTGGGTTCAAATAGTTTATAACGTCAGTCTCGGGCTGTTTTTTGCACCCAAAATCGGATTTTTAATCCATTCAAAAGTTTTATTAAAAATTGTTCCACCGTCACGTACATTTCTATTGTATTTTTTAATGTGTTAGTAAAAATATGTTGTGGTAATAAAAGAAAAATGTGTCAATTATAAAAATAATTAATCTTGGTTATAAAATCTATTTACTTAAGTAGATTCATTAATATATTGTATTAATTACGTCTCCTCCAAATAAAATAAAATAACAGAACGTTATTTAAAAAGCCGGCAACGCACTCGCGAGTTTTCTGGCAGTATTCGTTTCTATAGGCGGTGTCACTTAATATTAGATGTCAAAAATATAACTTTTCCTACAGGTATCTCTAGTAGAAGCAGCCCCAACAGAAGCAAGTATCGATGGAATGGAAGAAGAAATGCCCACCGCCAGTCCTGCGCGTACGCCGGAGCACGTGTCAGAACTGGGAGCCGTGTTACTGGCTGATCCCATTGCTGGGCCTGCTCTATTGCATACGGTGAGATATTTTAAGATGTATTAACTTTTTAACGGACTTTAAAAAGTTTTTAGTTTAACCGATTGTGTTGGATGATTGGGTATGAGGCTTAAGGTATTAGGCTTCCAAGTCCTTTGTTTTGTATGTCCACTAATTTATCGGAAATTCATAATCTATATTTAATATTTCATATAACTCGAAACTACAAAAACATTATTGTATTGGTGTGTACGCCTTTTGGCAAAGGCCTCCAGATCTTTCCAGTTTTCGGTTCTAAAGTTAATCTTTGCCTGCGGTTATCTTGAAATCCACCGAATTGCCGCCTTCTAATGTATTTCACTGTAATACAGTCGACTCTCTAAAATTTTAAACTCGAGAAAACAGATAAATTAAAATTAACATGAGTTCAAAATAGCAAGCGATTAAATAACCATAAGGGGGGACTCAAGTAAATAAGAATTTGATCAAAATTCGTGATCAATGTCTATATTATTATTATGTATTACCATTTAAATACAATTATTCACAAGTTTTTATTTCGAAAAGAAGTCCGTTATCTTTTTTTGAGTAAACCACTTCAGTATATCATTGTCTAAAGAATTTAAAAATCAATTGTATGATAATCACTTCAAATTACCGAGGGGACCAATTAGCATTGATTTTATTCAATTTATCGAGTATTTTTCAAGCGACCGGGAAAAATCCAATTACAAAGAGTTGACTGTATGTCGAAAGTTAAATAAACCGTTTTTTTTTCAGATACTTCGAGCTTTAACATGGAACGACTCGACGTCCTCGTTACGGGCGTGTGCGTTGGCCCTTCCGGCGTTACGAGCAGCGTTAAGTAACGGCGCCGTTAGCGCTGGGGAGGCTAACGGGGCGTTGGCGGCTGTTCTACACGCCTTGAGGCTACACGGACAGCATGAGGCTAATCAGGCGGCCTTGCTGTCGCTTGCTGTACAGGTAATTATTATTTCACACATACATAGTAATAGTTTATTTCACATCTTTCCAAATGTTAATAATATACAGTTTAAATTTATTGTATACATTTTTTGAAAGTGAAACTTCTTTAGGCGCATGAGGGTAATTTTTTTACGGATGAAACGCAATAATAATAATATTAGTGTCACGAAGATGTGCAGCGTTTTTGACGAAGAAAAGGGAGAGAGCGATTGAGAGAGAGTGAGAAAGGGCAAACGTAGCATGAAGCGAGAGTAGGGAGCAAGCAAGTGAGAAAGATTGAGAGAGAGAGAGAGAGAAAAATACACGTTATTGGTTGATGTATTCGTTTATTAGTTACATATTAGAACTTTAGATGGCAATTCTGTCGCATAACGTCTTGTGCAGTAAACGCAGATTTTTTATTTATTTATATTATCATTACCACGTATAAACAGTGTGAATATAGATATACAAATATATGGAGTGATCATATACTGGTACATGATCATCTATTGGGGCCTTTTCCCTTAGTAATATACGTAATTAATTTAAAAAGAATTTTCTTTTCTGACATGTGTACTTTGTTCGCACGCATTTTTTCTGGTTTACTATCCGTGTCCTTATCCTAACTTCCTTCAGTAGTATTAATCAGAACCCTTTCACGGGTAAAGGCCTCCTCCTTTCCAAATTTCTCTATCCGTGGCTCTCTTTCTCCATTCTCTTCCTGCTAACGCTTCTAACGATATATTTTATCCACCTTTTTCTAGGGCGCCCTCTTCTTCTTCCTCTTGGGCCTTTCCATATTTCCATAGTTATCTTCAGTCCATCACATCATATCATATCATCATAGTATCACCTGTGCATCTTGCTATATGCCGTCATTGCTACTTCTGTTTTAGTGTCTATACTTTTGTTTTCCTTATTTTTAGTACGCTTCTCGTCCACATACATAATCATAATTATTACATGATTATATTTATGTGATTGCATTTTTTTAAAGTCAATCCCCCCATGTAACGCGCCGTAACGTTTTTCTGTACCCAATAGAGTGTACCAGCTAGTGACTCTTTATACTTAAAAGTTACCATTATGTAGTGTAAAGTACTGGAAAGTCGAATATAATATTAACAATAACGCGTAATTCAATCCCCGCCCCGCGTCGAAACGTTTTACAAAAGGATTTCCTCCCAATACGTAATACTTGAACGCTCCCTAATCCGCTTTGGATATATTTTTTATTTTTTAACCTTTAAGAAAACTGTTTTCTTTAGCTGAAGTTAAATTAGATACGAGATGAACGAGATAGAATTTAGTTTAATAAATGTACATATTAATTGTATATAATATGGATTAATAATTACAGGCCTATGAAGCTCTCCGACCACGTTTCCCAGAAGTAGCGAACGTGTTAGGCGCGATACCGGACGTAGATGCGCACGATTTGCGAAGGTTGGACGAAAAGCTCGCGGCCAACAACGCGCGACCAGCTAAGATCGATAAGAGCAAGAAGGATTTGTTTAAGAAAATTACGTCGAGGGTATGTTAGCTTAGCTTATAGTTTTTTTTTAATTTCTTTCTTCTTTATTTCAAAATGAAATTTTCGACTTAATTCATATTTAATAGCAAAAAGTATCAATAATTTACATATCTATTTAATCAGTAATCTCTCTTTTAACGCATTTTCATATTACGCGATTTCCGTCCCCCGTATAACGTGGGCATTTCACACGTTATATTTTTGGACTGTGAAATTTAAAGATTTCCCTTACTATTCGATTTAAATCCCCTTTAACGAAAAAAGTTAATTTATGAATAATAAATTTTTCTCTACATAACGTCGTTATATGGGGTCATCTGTGCGAGAATACTCCATAGAGAATAATATATAAATATATAGAGGTAATTACTGTATATACATCAAAGACGAAGTTTTGTGAATATGTTTTTGTTTTTTTTTTCTAGCTGATCGGAAGAAACGTAGGCCAATTATTCAAGAAGGAAGTGTTCATACTAAACCTACCAGCGATGAATGTACCTAAAGAGAAACCGCGTAGCGCCGTCGAATCACCCGAAGGGGCGGGGCTTGACAAACTATTCGCTAACGGGCCCACATAACGTACGCGTACGTACGTTAATTTGCGGGTCTTAACCGCGTTGTGATTTAAGTTAACGCCGCACTCGAATTTTTTCCGCGATTTAAACTAAATGCTAGGGTAATACTTATATTGAAATTAGTATAAAATAATATCGTAGAAAAAATCCGTGGTGCGGCTGTTACAGAATGAATTGAGCTTTTCCATATATTTGTCCCTACTTTTAAAATGATTAGAAAATGGCAACATTACATCGTATTTTTTGTCAATGAGTTCCGAGACTGATTTTTTTTAACCTTATTTTATCAGAATGTTTTCAATAAAAATTGCGTATCCATTGCATTAGTTTATCTATTTTTGTGGTTAAAAAGAAAGAAATCATACTAACCATGGATATTATATTATGTCTAAAATCTCAGTACATTCTGTAATCACTCAATGTCAAAATCTCGTCTTATTCATAAACCTTTGGTAAAGGATTTTTGTCACATATTTTATATTATGACATGGGTTTATGGATAAGGTCACTTCGACAATAGATTACTATTGCCGCAATTATAGCAACAATGGTATCTAGTTAAATTTGGCTTAATTTTAAACTTGCGGAGTTTATTCTCGAATATTCTAATTGTATGGAATTTTTAACACCTGCTCCCTGTACTTAGTAAACATTTTTATGGCGCTTTCTCAGACGGGCCAACGATAATACTATATACTATAGGACCATTATTGACGCTTCTTAGTAGTTCTATAAAATTAATAAAAAAGGCTATTTGACAGTTGACACTGAAAAATAAAGTGTTGTTGAGAGTAATCTGTGTAAAAATATTGATTTTTATATGTCAGTTACGTGACACAGAATAGATTAGTCGAATCGACAATGATGTACAAGTCGTCGGAAATATCTGCGAACCTGGCTTAATGACGTCATACAAACTGGAGAGATAGCAAAAAAATTGAAGATGTAAAAATAAAAAATATTTTATTTGTGTACTTATTTTTATTGATACTCGTACCTACCCATCTTACATACAGCACTAAATAGGTAGTTTATGTTATATTTCACCAAACAGAGAAACAATAAACACTAAAATGCGATTACGAAAGCAAGAATAATACACGTGCGGCGTCGGCGATTGCGTTGGCAACGGTACTGGATAGGCGAAAACGGGGCGGGGTGCGGGGGCGCCAGGGGAAGCGCATTCCAGCGAGGTTCGCAGATATTTCCGACGGCTTGTATGCATGTTAATAATGCCTTGTATAATATTAATACTATCTTGAAGTTTTATTTGCTGGGTTTTTGATGGAAACATAATATGTATTTGGGTGAGAATGATAATAACGCGTCAAAATCTCAAAAATTGCTCACCTGTTTACAAGTATGGGGAGTCATGCGACGCCATCTTGCCCAGAAAAACGTTTTGGCGCGTTCATGAAATTAAGAATTGTATTTTAAAAGCCAATACTTATCACAAATAAAATAACAATTTGTATTTTAGTGAAATACGCTGAATTTTTTAAAATATTGTCAAATAGCTCGGTGTTGTTTTTTTTACTTTTTAGCTTTTATTATACCACGAAGACAAATACGATTTTTCTTTGTGATAGCCTTCTTAGCAGTAGAAAGTTATTTAGAAGCAGGTGAACCCACGGCCTAGTCCCAACAGTGTTAACAATTCTTTGGTAGATTCAGGTGTTAAAAAAAACCTAACCAATTAAGAATATGAGTATTCGAGAATTTACTTAGTTTAAAAGGTAAATGCGAACGCGAATATGGAAAAGTATTAAGAACTATACAGCGGCAGAGCGCATTAAAATTAAACATATATATATGTTTCTTTACTTAAAGCATAGACTTTACGTCCGAAAAGCATTTATTACTTTACCAACTTTAACGATAAATTCGTACTTTTGCAAAATTTGTTTCTTTTTTAATATGAAGGCGAAGATCTCCTCTTGGGATTTCATTATTTTCTGTATATAAGTGTGATTTGATTGAAAAATAATTTCTAATACAGAATGTATGTTTTAGTGTTATATATCACATGAACGTTCCTATATAAATAATACTGTCTATTATATTATTAGACACATGGGATTTCTATGTAAAATGTGTGGACATGTCTTCATTTTAAAAGCTTAACGCTTTGATTGGATTGTATTCGTTTAAATATATAAGAAATTGTCCATGGATAAAATAATAATGGATAAATAAAATTTAATTTGAATAGCGAATCTAAAACCGCTATCGCTAAACGCTGTAATGATTCAAATTAAGATTTTTTTTAAATATAATAATAACTTATCAAAACAGGTATATAAAAGTTATTGGTTGATTCTAATCAGATATGGTTATGTTGGTAAAGAATCCTGAGACTGTGGTAGGAATTGTCTAAATATCATAGTAATTTGTTATTTTATTGCTTACCATTCCTTTGCATAAGGTTTAATGTTGCATGACCATGAACGCCAATAGCGGAGTAGCGAGCCTTCCACAGCATTCAATTGCATTATGTTTGTTTATGTTATAAGAAGTGTTTTATGGCAATAAAAAGTGGATGAAGAATTTGTTTGTTCGTTTTTTGCTAGTGATTATGTCAATATTGGTGAATATTTTTGTGGCCATTTCTTTTAGGTTGTAGCACGTGTTCTGTGTATGTTTTTCTATATAGTGCCTTTTTCACAATAGACAAATTTATGGTATCGTGAGAAACACAAAGACTGAGTTACGACCTAAATGCTATTTTATGATCCTTGGATTTACGACATTCCAAAATACATTTTCTTAATAATTATTGGCAAGATTTTTTTCAAAGTTTCAAAGTCAAAACAGTACTCAAATCAGTTCGAAATAGAAGATTAATTTTGCATTTTTAAGAAATAAAATAGTGTAATTTTTTGTTTTTTCAAACTGTGGTAAATCAAGGATCAGCCCTAAATCACAGCTATGTAAATTGTTTTTTTAAATTGTGTTTGTATTATATAGGTGTGTAAATATTGGATTATTTAGATTTTTCGCGTTCGCATAGCCTGCGACTGCCGGGGATCGCCGCCATATCGTATTCGCGATGTTAAATTTTTTTATGTGAATAAACGTTTATATGTTATTTAAATATAATATAAAATTTCAACTCTTTTATTTCTTAAACCTTTTTCTGCCGTCCGCTTCACGTGAAATTCCCCTGTAATAATTTTAATAAAATATTTAATTTGAGATGCACAAGCAAGTCTCTCTGACTGTTTGGAGTGTCTGTAAAGCACTTCAAACGTATTTTTACTTTATTTATTTTCTACCATTACAGTAACTTAACACTAATTCGATTGAAAATTATAAAATAAATCAATATTAACAATTATGGACAATGCAACTATTGTCTTATACTGAAATATATGTCTGTACCGTAAAAAATTTTTAAAGTGTGCGCAATTATATAAAGAATTTTATAAGAAATTATAAACAAATACTTGATTACTAATGTTTAACACGACAACAAAGTACCGCAAACGTGAAGAACTTCTGTATTAAACAAAACGAAAATATAGTTCTTCTGATGGCAATACTATCTTTTGTTATTAAATACTTCATGGAGATGCATATAGCATTCGCAAAGTTCTTACTTAAACATTTATTTGTCTAAATGTTGGAAATTCACAACTGTATTAAGTGCTTACAACACGAATAAACGTAACCAATAATTTCTAAAGAACTTTAATGTAGGTGACAAAATGTTTATTCCTTGTTTTCGACAATCATTGAACGTATTTCTTTTTATTATATAAACGTAGATAAAATTGTGGAAACAAACAGTGAGAGTTTAAATTGTACATTTAATTTCCACAACAGTACCTAATCCATCAATACTATGATACTGTAAGATTATAGATAATTTATAAGGATCCTTTAGAGTGGAAATTATGAAAGGCATTTTCTAAAGGGGATATTAATTAGAAAATAAAGACAATTTTTTTAATGAAATATACAAAGAATTTAAGAAACTTGAACTCTTCAATTTATTTTACAGGCACGTACCTCTCACAAAGGTACATTATTCGACCATAAATAAGATATGTGGAGACAAAGAAAGTAATTATTATATATTTTCTACTGTTTTAACTTGTCGTCATAGTGTGTGCACGGATAACTAACTACTTACTGTCGCTCTGTAATGCGTTAAAGAAATATACGCTAAATTAAAACATTTACGTCAAAAAAATTCATAAGGGTCAGATATTTGAAGATTACATATTTAAATGTAAGTATATCATATTTAGTTGTAGTAGGTACCATATTTAAAGGTAAATTCTCTTTTACATCATTTATTACTTTATCAGGAAATGGTAAATCAAACAAAAAAAAACAGTGACTCCACATCGTGATCATTTGTTTTTTTTTTACTAGGTAAGTACATGATCAGCCTTCTGTGTCTCACTCGTCGGCTTTTTAGGTATACGGCATGCTTGTCTCCTCACGACGCGACTTTTATTTAAATACAGCCTATACAGTACGAGCGAGTGTTAATAGCGTAGCATGAAACATACATTGGTGCACAGCTAGGATTCGTGTACCTACCTCAAGGATAAGAATCGTACGCTTAAGTCACTAGCTCAATATTGCTCTTAACAAAAAGGAAGAACAAATAAAAATACTGTAAAATAAAACATTGTAGCTCTAAATTAAATTTTACCCTTTCTCACCACTTTTCGAAGCATTGAAATGAATTAAAATCTATTTCAAAAATAATTTTCCAAAATAAAACACTTATAAAAATAAATAAATATATTTATTGAAAACAATCACTTATCATAAGTATACACAAACTGTAAGCCGACATCAATATTCGTTCGGTTCTGAGCGAGTTCTATACGCGATGCGTCCACGAGTACGCGAATAACATCGCCATTGACGAGTTCCGCGCATTTAGTCACGTGATCGCCGACTACTGGAATCTTGCGAGGACCTAACGCTGGGTCAAGATAACGCCACAGCTTTAGAGAATTTATATCTGAAAGTAAATGAAATTC